AAGCAGTTTGAAAAATGTCACAACCTTGGTGTCCATTTACACGTGAAACCTGGCAACCATACTGTCAGGAAACTAGTTAGATGTTTCATCCGTTGCTACCAAATATTTAGGTACAAGTACTATAATTTGAGCTATTAAAATCATTTGTACATATTTCACTACTGGTAATACTGGGGAAACAAATATCACAATGTAAAGAGGGACACTTAAATTCATTGGCCCCGCATTTATGGAATCGCCCACATACACTTTGATTGACCTGTCTTTCTTTAAAAACATGTGTTCGTCTATTAAACACTTTCACTAGGATTGCAAACATCAAAGCCACTTGTCTCAAAGGTGGATGTTTTCTTGCTTCAACAGTTACTTACACTTAACAATACAATCATCATATTCTCATTAATGAAACCCTGCTTGGTTTCATTCTACATTACGGCAACATGTATAATTGTCTTTACAAGATTGAAATTTACAGCAAATGAAAAGCTTTGAAATCTGAAGGTTTCTTCCTTCAACCATCAAATAAACAATTACATAACAAAATAACGTTTATACATTAAGCTCTAGTTCCAATTTACCGGTATATATTTTCAATGAGTTTTCTTTCAGGAGGGGCATAGATTAATTTTGACAATTTTGTTTCACTACAGGGTGAGTCAGTAAAAGGAAAACGAAATGGCAGGACAATTTTCTTAATAAAGTTCTGCACGTAGCACTTTCAAAATCTAGGATATTAAAGTCAAATCAATAAGCTTTCTTTTAGTAGAAGAATAATTAAATCACTCATTGTACCTTTGAAGTTACGGAATTTTAAACACAACCACCGTTTTAAAGTTCTGTCCACAGGTCACTTAAAAAGGTGTGCGGGGTTTTTTTTCAGCAAAACGAAAACAATTCACACACATCCCAATTTGAATTGTTTTCGTTTTGATTCATGTACTAAAAAAAGCTTAATAATGGGGATTTTATATCCTACATTGTGACAGTGCTACATGCTTTATAAATTATTGCGAAATTGGTCCCGCCATTTGGGTTCCCTTTTTTTTTTACTCACCCTGTATAGCTAATAACTGCAAAGTTTTGTTTGTCACAAAGTTTAATGTTTTAAGAACATCACTGTGTGGCTCATTATTATTATAATGGCAGCAATTCAATGACTGTCAAGAACTGCAAACGACAAGTTGTTAAGCTTCACACTGCAATTTTGAACTGATTCTTGAGAAGAAAAAAAACTGTTCTTGTTATCTTCATATATTTACGTGGTATGTTTGCAATATCTCTGTTCAGGAATGTTCAGTTATGTCTCTGGCAAACCTCAGTTGACTCGCTAGAATTGAGAGAAAAATAAGGAAGGAAATTTAAGTCTTAGAAGCAAGAAAGGGATGAGACAGAACAGTTCTTGGCAGGAAACCACGTGATGCAGCTGTACTTGTCCTTTATTGGAATCGAACCGGAACCACTAAATTTTCAGAAAACGCGTCCGACGCAAACAACCACGATTCAGAGTCAAATGAGCCTCAACTTGAGAAACCCTATTTCGATGTGCACCTCGAACTAGAAACAAGACACAAGAAAAGATAAAGCAGATAGCTTGATTGAGTAAATTCAGGCACCTTAAGAAAACAACAAAGTGGCCCTGTTTGTAATCGACAAACCGTGGACAAGAGGAGGTGAAAGGCGAGAGAAGTACGAAGCACTGCATAAAGTTGAGTAAATCCACAAAGTCAAGATATGAACCGGATACTGATTGTGCACAGGCAAGCACTACAATGCTCGGCCTACATGTAAGTCAGTCAATGCAGTATAGCCCTGATGGGATTTGAAACGCGGATAAGGCCAGGTGGAAGGCAAGGGAAGTGGTACCACGTAAAGTGGAGTCAATCCACAAGGTCAAGATATGATCCGGAAACTGATTGCGTAGAGGCAAGCAAGCACTGCAATGCTTAGTCAATCATTGCAGTAGCCCCGACGGTGAACAAAGAATAAGTTCACTTTGCAACGGAACAAATTCACGACGTCCTGGGATTTGAGCAGAGGAGACCAATACCATTATTCTCTGTAACTTGTCTCGATTTTGCAGGGACCATATGGCTCCGGTCATGCTTTTTATGTTAATCACTGTGGGAGGGTTACTTCCTAGAAACTCCCAATATAATGGGTAATATAATCTTTTTGTCAGATCAAATGTGTTGTTTTCAGGATAAGGAGGATTCGTTGTTGCAGTGTGGCATGCAGCCAGCCATGCGTTGAACTTGACCTTCCAATTGTGTTGCCTGCCATTTTATTATTGCCATCATAGTATGCGTAGGCCTACTTCTGAGATGTTATCTTGTTGAGGAATAAAATAATATCAGTTCAGGAGATAGTCGTCATACATTGACATTTTGAACGCTTGTCCGCTTTAACTAGAGAACCGTTCCTTCTATGCTCCCCCTAAATTGTCGTGGTTCTGGTCCGCTACATGAAACTGTATGCATCTTTAAACGTCTCAAGGCAGTGATAATACAAGAATATATCTTGGTAATAATGCTCATAGCATTGCTTATTTGTCGATGCGAGTGAAATAGCCTAACAGCCGAATTTGGAACTTCTGTGATCCATCTGAAAATCAACAAATAATGTCCTTATGCACGTAGTCCGTTAAACCTTGCATGTGGAATAATTCGCTTGACCACCTGGTCAACCAGCGTTTTATGAGGACCTTCATAAAGGAAATCAAATATGTCTAGATCAGGCAGATTCTGCAGATGAGCTGCAAGTTCCAACACTCCAACCCCACTGAATGCATTGCCATGAACATCAAGGGTTCTCAAACCATGCCCAGCAGGGAGGATTTCTTTCAGCTCAGGGAGGTCATCGTCATCCAGTTCACATGACATTAACGACAAAACGATCAGGGACCGAGGAACAAGAGGGGCTAAACTATCCAGATGGCCGTGAAGGTTTGTGTTGGACAAATATAAGAATTTAAACCGTTCACAACTATCCAGTACCTTCACTAGTCTCGTGCAATCTTCATACGTTCGCTTACGCAGAGTGATGTCAATGATCCTACAGCATACACGGGACAGGGATCCTAACACACAGTCATCATCGAAATGAGACATCTCATTTATATCCAGGCCAAGCTCTATTCGTTCACGAAGCCTCTCATCCAGCTCTTCAAGCGTTTTTTCTATGATCTGCAACTCCTTGTTCGCTTTTTCAGATAGGATATACTTGACTTCAAAAACCCAACATTTCCTGAGTGACCTGATGTTATCACTCTGTAGCATGTCTCTCATCAGCATCACGTCTTCATGCGATCTACATGTGATATAAACCCGAAGGGACATAGAAGTGTGGTCACGCAGTCGTTCATCAATATCCCTCAGCAGCCTAAAGTCATTATGCGAATTGCAGTGGACAGTGAGGTCCGTAAGTTCTGATAGTGGCTGACACTTCGAGTAATAGTGCATCGCTAACAGATCCTCATGAGTACGACAACTTGTGTCAGTTGGTCGGTCTAGCTTAACAGCCATTTTTTTAGAACCGGACTCGAGCAATAGCAGGCGTACCAGTTTCTGCAGTTCATCCCTCTCCACTGCAAACAGTTCTTCGTCGTCACTCGATTCTTCCTCTCCATCCGATCCTTCTTCGCCATCCAATCCTTTCTCGCCGTCCGATTCTTCCTTGCCAACCGATCCTTCTTCGCCAACCGATCCTTCCTCGCCATCCGATCCTTCTTCGCCATCCGATCCTTTCTCGCCATCCGATTCTTCCTCGCCAACCGATCCTTCTTCGCCAACCGATCCTTCCTCGCCATCCGATCCTTTCTCGCCTACCTTGTCAAGCCATCTTGAGTTGATGCGTTGTTTTTGTACGTGCTCCAGGATGAGCCCAGTAGCTGGAGACTCCGACGATGTGCCGCATGCAAACCGAAGCAGATATTCCCAGGCGAGAACATTGCCTGGATTGATCTGCTGTAACCTTTTCTTAAACTCTGCTTTGTTTGCGTGATGCAAATTGGCAAAGTGGTATGCTGCACAGTGTTCTTGGATTAACTTGTGTAGAAACTCTACTGCCTGTATCTTTTGCAAACCACTCGTGAAACTTTCTGTTTGAAGAAAGCCGAACCTACAACCATCCTCCAAGTCTTCCTTTTCAAATTCATCTGAGGAGAACCTGAGCCTTTCCCCCTTGGGGTTTAGTAGCCCTTTAAGAGCGACTGGTCCAAGTCGACGAAGGATTGAATACATCAGACTTTTCGACTTTTCCTCGCCTTCTTTGCACCTGTGACTGACTAGAGCCTCAGCGAACTTGGTGAAAAGTGCCGTTAGCTGCTCAGGCAATTTCGACTGATTTTCCCAAAGTATGCACAGAAAGAGTGCAATGATTGGAATCCTGGCCAGTGTGTGTAGAAATGAGCTGGATGTCAAATGTGAAATTAATGATTTCCCTTTATCGGCATCAATTTCGGCAAAGTAAGATGTTATGTATGTCTTTGCAGTTTCGAATGTGAAGCCTAATGTTTCAATACGGGCGTAGTTTGGGTATCCCTTAACGGCAAAGTCCACCATGTGCGGCCGTGTTGAGACTAAGACAGTGCTGCCTCTCAGCACCTTGTTAAACAAGATGTCCTTGATCCCATAGCCTTCTTTTGGAGCCGGAGAATTGAGCACGTCCAACGGGATCTCATCCAATCCATCCAATAGGAAAGCTGTTTTCTCTTCGTTATCATCAATAACTTTTTTCAAAACGGCCTTTTCAACACGAGGTAAAATCTGGTCACATATGGCCTCAAGGACGCAACTTGTTGTCTGCACTTGCCTCAACTTTACTAAGAACACAAGTTTGAACTTTGCCATCTTGGATTTTGGATCAGTGCTGGTGTGCGCTATTTTCAAGAAAAGAGTTGACTTGCCAAATCCTCCCCCACCCGAAAGAAGGGCCTTAATATTCCCAACTACTTCTGGTTCAAGCATATCATCCCATGATTTGAGGAGTACCTTTACATCCTTATCCAACGTTCGTTTCCCAGATGGTAACAAAATCTCATCGTTTGATGTTCGTTTACCTTTTAATGCCCGAGTGAGTACTAGTTGAGAAAAATGTTCAACATCCAGGGTTCTGGAAGGATGCAAGGGGTGTGCAGGGATGGAGCTGGTTGTGTCCATGTTGTATTTTAAAACAAGCTGCTGGATGTACTCCAGAGCAGTAAGTGGTGCATTTCCTGAAACAAAGCAAAAATTAGTTAAAAGTTGTTATGAGTTCACACTAAGGAGACAAATTTCACAATTTAGCTGTCACTCTTAACACAACGTTTGATCAACTTCGCTTGAAATTGGATAATGATAAAAGTTGTACTGTCCATACTTTTTTAGCAATGCAGAAAATTATTTAATTTTACAGGAAACATTGAACGAAACTTTGGCCGACGTTTTGTTATGGAATAATCACGTTAAAAATTTCGAATCTTTCAGTGTCCGACTCTACGGTTCTCGCAGGGTAGATTGGTTGCCGCTACACTACAGTCAATACATGTACATATAACACCAGGGGCGTTTTCTTTTGGGTTGGGATCGGAGAATTTACAGACTGACATCAGACCCGTACTATGATCCATGTCTGAAGCAGACGGGACAAATGAACAACATTAAATACTAGGTTGCGTTATTTCCAAACAAATTGCACAATAAAAGGGGAATCCCCAACAAAATTAATTTGACGGTTAGTTTGCCGACTGACCCCAAATTCAGACAGAAAACAATATTGACCTGGCGGAAAGGGGGTGGAGGATGCAGATCTTGTTATTTAACATTGGGAATCTACAATGAAAGCCTTTTCGGGGTAACATACGACCAAAACAGGGGGGGGGGAGGTTAATGGTCCGTATTAATAAATCATACAGTTGAAAAAACTTTTAGAAAAAAAAGTAGATTTGTTAAATTTTGATAATTGGGGGGTCACATTTTTAAAAACCACATTACATGACGATCATGTCAATTTATCTTGGAACATCTGAACGCACTTTTTTCTTCAACCAAAACTTTATCAAATTTTGGAGTATCGTCTGGTATTTTGGACAACCTTTTTAACATTATTTTGTCAAAAATGAACTGTGAATTACATGTAGAGTTCCATATGTTCGATATATAAAAACGTATAAAGACTGTGATAAAGTTAAAGGTACAAATGTAAGGAAACTAGCTATATACATGACAGACGATAACAAAAGAATGCGGATACAATGCACTCCATAGAAATCACATATGTTGAAAAAGAAACAGTTAAACGATAAAACAGGCGAAGTGATAAATGATTGTCAATAGTGTTAGCATATAGCTTGAGGTTCCTATATACTACAAGTATGTGAAAAAGAAACGAACACTTACGGAGAATCAGTCCAAGTGATCTGTGACATAATGCAATGATGGACATTTAACTCTAAAGTGACTGACGCGAAAATAAATGTCTAAAGATGGTTCGAAAAGCCTTAATGCAAAAACACGCAAAAGTTATTGGATTTGAAACACCGTTTTAATCGAAGGAAGATAAGCTTGACTCTCATTTTGTCCCAGAAAACATACTAATATACCTACATGTTCATGAGAAAATGTAGTTGTGCCATTGAAAAGTGAATAGGAAGTTTCAATCAATTCGGTTGAAATTTCAGCAAGCCTGGTTGAAGAGGGCATGCGCATGGACAGTTACAACAGTTAACCCAACTTACCTTGAAGACACTTGACGATATCATTTCTGCTGATCCTAGCCAATGCTCCACACAACACGTCCATCTGACATCCAGTGGTAGTCTGCCTTTGTTTCCATTCTACAAGCATCTGGACTTTTTGACGGGTGACATCTCTTGGGTGGTTGGCCTCATAGGTTGAGATGTTTGCATATGTGCAGTCGAGTTGATACGCAAGATCCGTCCAATCGTGACCAAGTCGCCGAGCGACATCCGAAAGAGTCCGATCAGATATTTCCGCTACAAGATCAAACAGATATTACTTCAAACTGTATTAAAAACTGCATTGGAATAAACTGAAAACATTTAACAAATTCCCGGGTCAGATTACCCGGAACCGGCTCCAAATTAGACTTTTCATTTTTTCGACTCTGTAAAAGTGTCATTTTTGACCCGGAAAATTGTTAGGCCAATTTGGACCCGGATTACGGGCCAGTCTAACTGGGGAGTTTTCTGAGTCTGAAAACAAGAATGACAAAAAAATGCAATTTGTGAAGAGTGAAGAATTCGGAAGAGTGAAGATTTCGGAAGGGTGCAAAATGTAAGTTGTACGTACAAGTGGATGCGTCTTCTGATACTCCAACGGCGTGGCTTGTAGACGGCCTGGTAGAAACATCATCAGCAGACTGAGTGACACCAACCTCCTCCCTTGATGTAACTCCAGATGCTTGGGGGATCTGACTTGTAGACAGCCGTGTGGACGTACCAGCTTCATCAGCAGGCAGAGTGCTGACCTCCTCCTCTGATGTAACTCCAGAAGTTTGGAGAATCTGACTTGTAGACGGCCTGGTGGAGGTACCAGCGACCTCCTCCCTTGATGTAACTCCAGATGCTTGGGGATCTGACTTGTAGACAGCCGTGTGGACGTGCCAGCTTCATCAGCAGGCAGAGTGCCGACCTCCTCCCCTGATGAAACTCCAGAAGTTTGGAGAATCTGACTTGTAGACGGCCTGGTGGAAGTACCAGCGACCTCCTCCCTTGGTGTAACTCCAGATGTTTCGGGGATCTGACTTTTAGACGGCCGGGTTGAAGTACCAGCATCATCAGCAGGCGTACCTGCAGTCTTTACGGTCCTGTCAAAATCTGGCAGATGTTTGGACGTTCGCTTCATTTTGTGACATCAGTGCAGTGAACCAGCTCAGTGGGCATGATCTAGAAACAACAAATAGTATACAGGTATACATGTCATGCATGGTCGTCATCTGTTAAACTCCCAAGTGACAAAAGTATAGCCCGAGTAACTAGGACATGGTCTGGCGATAATAGAGTCTTAGGATCATCTTTGTATCACGTGTACCGTTAATCAGTTGCACTCGTACCCCAATGAAAATCTTCATCAGATTACACCACAGCAAAAAAGTAGGGGTACGCCTCTTCCTGAAGCCGTGCTGTACTGTGGCTCATGTGCATCGGATGTTATGCTGAGTGAGATAGCGAATTACAGTCAGTGTTAGAGGTATTGAGGCCGGCCTCGGCCAGGAGTCCGATTTTCTTGGCCTCTGCCTTGGCCTCGGAGTGCAAGGCCTTTGCAAGGAGTGTTCTGGCCTCGGCGAATCGGTCGAGGCCGGCTCGAGGCCGCCCACTTTCGTGTGTTTTCTATTTCAATTACTTTTAATTTTTTTTACCTGATCAAATCTTCAAAACGCTGCCACAGAGGGTTCCATGAAACGAAATATGATTTTAAGCAGATACGCACAAATGAATGAACTGGTAATGCGTACACACACAGAGTTGCAACAAATTTGTTTTTTCTTGTTCGACTTGATCCTTTTCTTATTTTGCATGGGTCCTCTGCTGAATAAATGATAAATTTACTGTAGCGCAGTTTTTGCTACGCCCCCCCCCCCCCCCCGGCTACGCCACTGCAGGTCATACGGTTAAAGTTTATGTAAACTTGTATGAAAAGTCAAAGAAAAGTTACTCCCATGATCTATTTGACAAGTTTGTGTTAACTTGCCGGTAACGCCCTAAAAAATTATCCAGACAAATATCATGAATATGTTTATTTTGTAACATTTTATGTTCATCTGTCGGTCTTCTTTGCTGTTATGTTTACTTTTAGGTACCTTCAATGGTACTATGTTTAATTAACCTGTTCATTTGTTTAATTAAACTAATAACGCACATATAGTTGCCAAATATGCACTAACAAGTTTGAGGTCGGCAATTTTGTCTTTAAAAATCTAAGTACGTTGGGTTACCGTACACACAATTGTCCTGGAGACAACAGTACCAAAGTACAGAAAGTCGTACGCAAGAGCTCCCCAGCAAGTATCGCTGACGCCATTATGATTCCAACATTTCTCACCGTGTCACACAGTGAAATAACTAAACAGCATCGTTGTATTATGAACACATAAAAGCATTCAAGTCGCGTTCTTGCACACTTTCTGCAAGTCGACATAGATATCCTTGAACCACTGCCCCTGCTTTGCATAACAAGTGCACATGAATGAACGATTCGACTTTTATTCAAAGAAATTTCTATGTACAGTCACCAGACTCTATTCAGTACTTTTGGGTGATTTTTCCCATAACGATGATCACCCCACCGCCATTTCAAAAAAAAAAAAGATTCCTTCCACTCCATATCAATGTAGATTCCATTCAAATATTTTGTTCAGAAATCCCAATTCGGGGACATGGACCCTTCACTTCTACAAATACAGACCCTCAAATACAGACCCTCAAATAAAATTCTTTATTATTACAGATAAACTAGTATACAAATCGTAATTTGGCCGGATTAGGTCGCACCTATTTGGGCTGCCTCTCATATGTAAGCCTACTGTAAAAGTAAAAAAAAACAATTGTCATCAGACGATTATTCAACCCCTGCCAACAAAGCAGATTTAAAATTCCATTGATAAAAATTAAAGAACTATTGAAAAGTAAATTGTACAAATCATACAAAACCACACAAGACAAGACATGACGAGACGAGACAAGACGGGGAGATGAGACAAGACTCAGCACAAAAATCATAGAGTGAAACATTAGACAAACCAGGCAGATACAAAAATATAAAAACGAACTAATACATCAATACTCTTACAACCCAACAAACAAACAAACAAAACAAAACAAACAACCAGACTCAATAACGGGAATGAATGACAAACGGGCTAAAAAGATTATTAGTATTACAAACAAAACAAAACAAAACCGAGAAACAAAAGCAATCTCATTCCCCAGAGAGAATTTACACACTAAAGAAACAACAAGAAAATACCCGGTAACAAAATGAAATAAGACACAATGTTACATTGACGATAAAATAAATATGACTGCAATAATTCCTCCCTCAGTTTTGAAAGAAAAGATTCACAGCTTTCCATAGTTAAAACTTTTTCTAATTTTAACACGGTGACTTCGGAGAACATCAATGAGGCAATTGAACAGTTCTCTTATCTTGTAATCCATGTGTCTATCAGTTCCAAGTTTAAAGTGGTGACACGTTAAAGGCTGTGCGACGGAGCTGCCCTGCAATTCATTCCTGAAATTATTGTTGCATTCCCTATTAGTTCATTAACTTTATATTAGAATCAACATTATTATCTATGATAACGAATTTGGCGGGAAACAGAGCTTTCACACAGTGACTTTACGGGTTTATTAAACTTTGTGGGGATTCCTCCAACATCAGGCTTTTCCTTGGTTACAACACCGGTGTCGGAGTCTCACAACACTAACTGGGGAAACCAAGTAAGCCAAACGGCACGGTACGACTACGAGCTATCGCTTCGCAGAGACGGCTGGACTGAAGCGGGAGCGGACTGCTACAGTGACGGGGAAGCAACAGAGAACTCAAAATCTCAGTGGGGGGGGGGGGGGGCGACTGGGGGGGGGCGACAAGGTTTCATGGGGGGCTGTCGCCTTGGACTCGGAGGTTGTGGTCTCGGTCTGGCCTTGGAGTTGTGGCTTCGGCCTCGGTCTTGGCCTCAGCCGCAGAGGCTGTGGCCTCGACTACATGTACATACATAAATGTACAACACTTACATGACTTAACAGCACAATCATGACAATGAAGTATATGCGCCCATAACTTACATAAGTGGACGGTAGCTTGAGGCCAGCGACCAGCTGCCTTTCTTGGCCAAGTGTGCCTTTGTTCCCTGATCTAGTATGGACAATGATGGAAGCTTGCAACAGGAGTGGCAGTGATGGGCGGTGCAATTTCTGTAGCAGTTTCCTTCACTTCAGCAAGCGTACTGCTGAGAAAACACTAAACAGTCCCCAGAACAGAATTGTGCAGACCAGTCTCATTATTATAGATTTGGTGCACAGGGTATGAAGTGATGTCCAGGTATGGAATTCTTACTTATTCTACATCAGAGCAAAAACATGTTAACTGCATGATTTGTCCACCGAGTTTTCCTTCCAGGAAGTCAGCCGTATTGAGCTATTATGATTGTCCCGTGTGACCATCAGAAAATGGCCTAATTCTGCTAAATGCACTTCAAAAATCTTCTAGATTTAACAAAAACAACTGCTAAATCATCCAGGATTATCGATACACAAAACACATTATAAACACTGATACGGATATGCATATTGTTAGAAGATTTCTTTTAAAAAGAACAAATTCATAAAATGTCTTTTAAAACATAAGAAATTTAAAAAATAACCAAATACATGCTACCAGTGTGGTCCATACACGTCAGGAAATCTTAACTGACCTGCCTATCTTCGCTGTTCAAAAGTTTGTTTGAAGTTATCGAAGCTTGTTCAAAACATATATGCTGCAGTTTTCTGCTAGGATCACCGATTTTTTGCTGAAAAACTGCTAAAATGTCATTCTGCTAGATTTTCTGCTAAGTTCCTTTTTATCCAAAAAAATCTGTCAGATCTAGCCGAAAATCGGCAAAAACGGTCACCCTGATGATTTCTGAAATCTATAGAGGGCGCTATTTTTTTTTACCGTTTCCGGTTCGCGATAAATACCACACATTTATATTACATTAGCATGTCACACTAAACGGATTACCCCAGATTAAAATACGGATACCTAAGTATCAAAGAAGAAGTAGCAGTGGAGGTTCGGGGGGGGGGGGGGCTGGGGGCTTTAGCCCCACAAAATTTGTCTAGCCCCCCCCAAAAAAAAAAATCCATAAAAAAATTGCACTTTTAGCAAAATGTAAGAATGTGACGTACATGCGAATGACGGTCTCCCCCCCCCCCCCCCAATGAAAAGGTCGTGAGAACTTGGTGCATTTCATACGGAACACTTTTATTTAACATAGTGCGCCATACAGTAAGATTTTGTCAGCCTCCCCATTGAAAATATGGCGCCTTAAAAAAGAAAAATGTTAGAATCGAAAGGTAAAGTTAGAAGAGGAGGATCAAGTTTAAAGAGGGATCAGGTTTGAAGAGGTTAGGAGGGGACAGAAAGTAAAAGTTAGAAAAAGTTTAGAAGTAGAAGTTGGAAGTAAATAGCAGACAAAGAATAGTGGAGGAAGAAGCTACAAAGAAGGAAGAAGGGATGAAGAGAGAGAAGATGTTAGTAAGAGAGAAAAAGAAGGAAAAGTTTGACGAACAATTAAGAAGAAAAATTACAAGAAGAAAGAGTTTGAAGAAGGAAAAGTTAGGAAAAGAAGAAGTAAGAAGAAGAAGAAGAGGAATCTAGATTAAAAACAAGTTAGAAAAGAAAAATGTTAGAGTCGGAAGATAAAGTTGGAAGAGGAGGATCAAGTTTGAAGAGGGATCAGGTTTGAAGAGATTTGAGCAGATTCACTGATTATGCATCCGAATCTTGACCTCTAGATTTTGACCAATCAGTGGTCAAAGAAAAACTGCACTTTTAAGAGATATTCTTTTCTGCATTTAATGCTGAATTCTTGCACATAAATATTGTTCAGATTTCTTGTAACAATTAATTTCAGTTCCCCCACACACAGTCAGTTGTTCTCATTATGAACAATTAGAGAAAATAATTGAAATGTTTATGTCAATTAAAAAATACAAAACTGTATTCACAATGTTTCATTTCCAAGGAGAAGTTTCCTATCGTAGCCAGGGCGTTTGCCGAGCATTCTGATATTTTCATGAACAATCAATGAACCCAAGATGTCGCAAAGGTATCGGGGAAGAGATTATCACATCTTAAATTAACTACATTTAATAATAGTTATTATTATTATTCCTAAATGTACCATTAGGAAGACACCTCATCGTTATTTTTTCGATAATAGGGAGACACCGGCTTTCAGGGAGCCCCCCTTTAGAGGCAAAATTTTACCGTCGCAATAAAGGTTATATTTGATCCTCGTGGTCTAATTAGTAAAAACAAAAATACCGAAATTCGTAGGAAAAGGACAAGGTAAAATTTGGTTAGGGCACATTTAATTTGGAAATAAATTTGAAGGAAAGTCTCACGCATCTGCCAACAAATAGGTTCTCAAGGCGCTGGTAATTTTGTCTCTTTTTAAAGACTGGTAATGATGTGTCAGAATGACTAACAGACAATTCGCAAGCCTTCGTTTCATACCAATGATTTAAATAAAGATCCAAAACAAAGAAGTATACAGGTGAACAAATCCAGGCCACACAAACATTTCAATGATTAAAAACAATACGACAGTTAGGTCGGTAAGTTATGTATTTCACACAAACTTTCCTGAAACGTTGATTTCATTTTTAACGCCAGGTAGAAAGAAATAGTTACAAAACGTCCTCCAGAACACATTACTATATCTGCGAGTATATTTTAAAAGTACACCTCCTGCTAAGAACTGAAGTTATCTTGCATCAGCTGTTATACAGTAAAATTACACAGGTTATGATTGTTGTAACATAGCAAAAGATTTAAGCTGGTTTTCTTGCATCAGCTTTTGTCATAAAACAAACATGGTGGGCACAAAAACGTTTCAAAAGCTTAATTCCCATCACATCAGCTATTGAATTGAAAGTGGATTAAGTAATATTTCATTACAGACCTATGAATAGTACTGCTTGGTTTTAATTCCATTGAAGATATGATGTATTCAAAAAATAGGACTCTACGGAATGCAGAATATATTTTACAAAGAAACATTGTGCCAAAAGCAGAAGTTGTCTTCCATCTGCTGTTAAACAATAAGCATACAATGATACTAATGTGGGGTTTTCCATAAGTTATGGTGCCAACTTGTGACTTTCTGACCCAAAATAAAAAATAATTAATAACCAGGAGATTCAATAATGATTTTCAGGATAAGTAGAGGATATTGACATTCCTTATTAATTGTAACCCAAAACATACATGATTTACTCCAGAAATGCCAAAATACCATGTCAAAACCCATTTAACATGTAATGGGAACAACAAATAATTTTTCTACTATTTTTGTGATACATCATGCTCAATGTGGTATGTTTATTTCCAAATATATTTTTTGTCTTACCCAGGATAACACATCAATGTTTATTGTGAAAATAACCTGCTTAGACTAAAAATAACATTTCTGTGCATGATTCCATAAGGGGAATTATTTTTTGGTGTCCTATTTACACGTGAAACATGGCCCTAAAAAAAATAATTCCAAACATGCAATCTTTGTTACAATGTCACACTTATCAAGTGGAACACATTAGTAGTCGTGATACATTTGGATATGCCAGTGAACCCAATAATGTTTTGATTTCTCAAATGTCCTGTATAACAGGGACACCAAAAAGTGGGTCTTGCTTACACGTGAAACATTTGGGCTAATGCACCGTGAATCCCGCTCAACTAGATATATTAAATAATTAAATATAGTGCCATTCTAAAGCAGTGTTAACTTGCTTTAAGATAATGAAGGGCATTTTTTTTCATACAGCACCTGGCAGCATTTGATCACCCTACATTTGTATAAGAACCAACAAACACATTTCATAAGCAGTTTGAAAATGTCACAACCTTGGTGTTCATTTACACGTGAAACCTGGCAACCATACTGTCAGGAAACTAGTTAGATGTTTCATCCGTTGCTACCAAATATTTAGGTACAAGAACTATAACTTGAGCTATTAAAATCATTTGTACATATTTCACTTTTGGTAATACCAGGGAAACAAATATCACAATGTAAAGAGGGACGCCAAAATTCATTGGCCCCCGCATTTATGGAATCGCCCACATACACTTTGATGACCTGTCTTTCTTTAAAAACATGTGTTTGTCTATTAAACACTTTCACTAGGATTGCAAACATTCAAGACACTTGTCTCAAAGGTGGATGTTTTCTTGCTTCAACAGTTACTTACACTTAACAATACAATCATCGTATTCTCATTAATGAAACCCTGTTTGGTTTCATTCTACATTACAGCAACATGTATAATTGTCTTTACAAGATAGAAATTTACAGCAAATGAAAAGCTTCGAAATCTGAAGGTTTCTTCCTTCAGCCGTCAAATAAACGATTACATAACAAAATAACATTTGTACATTAGGCTCAAGAAATTTCTCTAGTTCCAATTTACCGGTATATATTTTCAATGAGTTTTCTTTCAGGAGGGGCATAGATTAATTTCTGACAATTTTGTTTCACTACAGGGTGAGTCAGTAAAAGGAAAACGAAATTGCAGGACAATTTTGTTAATAAAGTTCTGCATGTAGCACTTTCAAACTCTAGGATATGAAAGTCAAATCAACAAGCTTTCTTGTAGTAGAAGAATAATTAAATCACTCATTGTACTTTTGAAGTTACGGAATTTTAAACACAACCACCGTTTTAAAGTTCTGTCCACAGGTCACTTAAAAAGGTTTGCGGGGTTTTTTTAAGCGAAAACGAAAACAATTCACACACATCCCTATTTGAATTGTTTTCGTTTTGATTGATGTACTAAAAAAAGCTTAATAATTGGGATTTCATATCCTACATTGTGATAGTGCTACATGCTTTATACATTTTTAGGAAAATTGGTCCCGCCATTTGGGTTCCCTTTTTTTTACTCCCCCTCTATAGCTGATAACTGCAACGTTTTGTTTGTCACAAAGTTTAGTGTTTTAAGAACATCACTGTGTGGCTCATTATTATTATAATGGCAGCAATTCAATAACTGTCAAGAAATGCAAACGACAAGTTGTTAAGCTTCACACTGCAATTTTGAACTGATTCTTGAAAAAAATCTGTTGTTGTTATCTTCATATATTTATGTTGTATGTTTGCTTTATCTCTGTTCAGGAATGTTCAGTTATGTCTCTGGCAAACCTCAGTTGACTCGTTAGAATTGAGAGAAAAATAAGGAAGAAAATGTAAGTCTTAGGAGCAAGAAAGGGATGAGACAGAACAGTTCTTGGCAGGAAACCACGTGATGCAGCTGTACTTGTCCTTTATTGGAATCGAACCGGAACCACTAAATTTTCAGAAAACACGTCCGACGCAAACAACCACGATTCAGAGACAATTGAGCCTCAACTTGTGAAACCCTATTTCGATGTGCACCTCGAACTAGAGACAAGACACAAGAAAAGATAAAGCAGATAGCTTGATTGAGTAAATTCAGGCACCTTAAGAAAACAACAAAGTGGCCCTGTTTGTACTCGAACCCTGGACAAGAGCAGGTGAAAGGCGAGAGAAGTACGAAGCACTGCATAAAGTTGAGTAAATCCACAAAGTCAAGATATGAACCGGATACTGATTGTGCACAGGCAAGCACTACAATGCTAGGCCTACATGTCAGTCAGTCAATGCAGTAGCCCTGATGGGATTTGAAACGCGGATAAGGACAGGTGGAAGGCAAGGGAAGTGGTACCACGTAAAATGGAGTCAATCCACAAGGTCAAGATATGATCCGGAAACTGATTGCGTAGAGGCAAGCAAGCACTACAATGCTTAGTCAATCATTGCAGTAGCCCCGACGGTGAACAAAGAATAAGTTCACTTTGCAACGCAACAAATTCACGACGTCCTAGGATTTGAGCAGAGGAGACCAATACCATTATTCTCTGTAACTTGTCTCGATTTTGCAGGGACCATATGGCTCCGGCCATGCTTTTTATGTTAGTCACTGTGGGAGGGTTACTTCCTAGAAACACCCAATATAATGGGTAATATAATCTTTTTGTCAGATAAAATGTGTTGTTTTCAGGATAAGGAGGATTTGTTGTTGCAGTGTGACATGCAGCCAGCCATGTGTTGAACGTTGACCTTCCTATTGTGTTGCTGTGCCATTTTATTATTGTGATAGTATGCGTAGGCCTGTTACTGAGATGTTATCTTGTTAAGGAATAAAATAATATACGTTCAGGATATAGTCGTCATACATTGACATTTTGAACGCTTGTCCGCATTAACTAGAGAACCGTTCCTTCTATGCTCCCCCTAAATTGTCATGGTTCTGGTCCGCTAAATGAAACTGTATGCATCTTTAAACGTCTCAAGGCAGTGATAATACAAGAATATATCTAGGTAATAATGCTCATAGCATTGCTTATTTGTCGATGCGAGTGAATTAGCCTAACAGCCGACTTTGGAACTTCTGTGATCCATCTGAAAATCAACAAATAATGTCCTTATGGTTCTACTCCATTAACCGTTACATGTGGAAGAATTCGCATGACCACCTGGTCAACCTGCGTTTGATCAGGACCTTCATGAAAGAATTTAAACGCGCCTAGATCAGGCAGATTCTTCAGATGAGCTGCAAGTTCCATCACTCCAACCCCACTGAATGCATTGCCCTCAACATTAAGGTGCCCCAAACCATGCCCAGCAGGGAGGATTTCTTTCAGCTCAGGGAGGTCATCGTCATCCAGTTCACATGACCTTAACAACAAAACCCGCAGGGACCGAGGAACAAGAGGGGCGAAACTATCCAGATGGCCGTGAAGGTTTGTTTCTAACACATATAAGTATCTCAACTGTTCAAAACTATCCAGTACCTTCACTAGTCTCGTGCAATCTTCATACGTTCGCTTATTCAGAGTGACTTGATCGATCCGACAGCATACACGGGACAGGGATCCTAACACACTGTCGTCATCGAAATGAGACACCTCGTTAATATCCAGCTTAAGCCTTATTTGTTCACAAAGCCTCTCATCCAGCTCTTCAAGTGTTTTTTCTATGATCTGCAAATCTTCGTTCGCTTTTTCAGACAGGATACACCCGACTTCAAAAGCCCAACATTTCCTGAGTGACCTGACGTTATCACTCTGTAGCATGTCTCTCATCAGCATCACGTCTTCATGCGATCTACATGTGATATCAACCCGAAGGGACAGAGAAGTGTGGTCACGCAGTCGTTCATCAATATCCCTCAGCAGCCTAAAGTCATTATGCGAATTGCAGTGGGCAGTGAAGTACTTAAGTTCTGATAGTGGCTGACACTCCGAGTAATAGTGCAGCGCTAACAGATCCTCATGACTATCACAACCTGTGTTAAAAGGTCGATCTAGCTTAACAGCCCATTTCTTAGAACCAGACTCAAGCAATAGCAGGCGTACCAGTCTCTGCAGATCATCCCTTTCCCCTGTTATCAGTTTTTCGTAGTCACTCGATTCTTCCTCTCCATCCGATCCTTCTTCACCATCCGATCCTTCCTCGCCATCCGATCCTTCCTCGCCATCCGATCCTTCCTCGCCATCCGATTCTTCCATGCCAACCGATCCTTCTTCGCCAACCGATCCTTCCTCGGCATCCGAACCTTCTTCGCCAACCGATCCTTCCTCGGCATCCGAACCTTCTTCGCCAACCGATCCTTCCTCGCCACTCAATGCTTCTTTGCAATCCGATCCTTCCTCGTCACTCCATCGTTCCTCGATAAATTGTTTTTGTACATGCTCCAGGATGAGCCCAGTAGCCGGAGACCCCGACGATATGCCGCATGCAAACCGAAGCAGATATTTCATGGCATGGACATTGTACGGATTGATTTTCCTCAACTGCTCCTTAAACTCATCTTCGTTTGTGTGATGCAAATTGGCAAAGTAGCATGCTGCAGAGTATTCTTGGATATACTTGTGTAGAAACTCTACTGCCTGTATGTTCTTCAAACCACTCGTGAAACTTTCTGTTTGAAGAAAGCCAAACCTACAACCATCCTCCAAGTCTTCCTTTTCAAATTCATATGAGAGGAAGATGAGCCTTTCCCCCTCGGGGTTTAGTAGCCCTTTGAGAGCGACTGGTCCAAGTCGACATAAGATTGAATCTGTCAGCTCCTTCACCTTGTCCTTACCTTCTTTGCACCGGTGACTGACTAGAGCCTCAGCAAACTCGGTGAAAAGTGCCGTTAACTGCTCAGGCAAGTTCAAGTTATTTTCCCAAAGTATGCACAGAGAGAGTGCAACGATAGGAATATGGACCAGTGTGCGTAGGAATGAGCTCGATGTCAAGTGTGAAATTAGTGATTTCCCTTTATCTGCATCAATTTCGGCAAAGTAAGATGTTATGTATTTCTTTGCAGTTTCGAACGTAAAGCCCAATGTTTCAATACGGGCGTAGTTAGGGTATCCCTTAATGGCAAAGTCAACCATGTGTGGCCGTGTTGAGACTAAGACAGTGCTGCCTCTCAGCACCTTGTTAAACAAGATGTCCTTGATCCCATAGCCTTCTTTTGGAGCCGGAGAATTGAGCACGTCCAACGGGATCTCATCCAATCCATCGAAAAGGAAAGCTGTTTTCTCTTCGTTATCATCAATAACTTTTTTCAAAACGGCCTTTTCAACACGAGGTAAAATCTGGTCACATATGGCCTCAAGGACGCAACTTGTCTGCACTTGCCTCAACTTTACTAAGAACACAAGTTTGAACTTTGCCATCTTGGATTTTGGATCAGCGCTGGTGTGCGCTATTTTCAAGAAAAGAGTTGACTTGCCAAACCCTGCCCCACCCGAAAGAAGGGCCTTAATATTCCCAACTACTTCTGGCTCAAGCATATCATCCCATGATTTGAGGAGAACCTTTACATCCTTATCCAACGTTCGTTTCCCCGATGGTAACAAAGTCTCTTCGTTTGATGTTCGTTTACCTATTAATGCCCGAGTGAGTTCCAGTTGAGGAAACTTCTCAACTTCCAGGGTTCTGGAAGGATCCAAGGGGTGTGCAGGGATGGTGCTGGTTGTGTCCATGTTGTATTTGATAACACGCTGCTGGATATACTCCAGATCAGTAAGTGGTGCATTTCCAGTAGGCCCTGAAACAAAGCAAAAATTAGTTGAAATTTGTTGCGAGATTGGTTGCCGCCACACCACAATCAATACGTATAACAAAAGGAGCGTTTTCTTTTGGGTTTAGATCGATCAACATACACACTGACATCAGACCCATATTACGATCGAAAAAAGCCTTCTCTCTTGTTGGCGCACGGAGACAATATCCTCCCCATCCCCCTGTGATTTACACCTACACTTCTGGCATAGAAACTATATCCAAGTATTAAGATAAAATTTACGATAGCACATGTTGTGACAAATCTCTTTTGCGAATTGGGAGGTTCTGAAAAGAACCGAGGGAAACTCAACACTCCACACTATCATTGATATTTGTTATTGCCATGTAGATCTTTGGTAGAAACCTGCAGCAGATTGAAGCTGTATTGGTATGGTGCAGCATATACTTTAAGTCTTTGGGTCTTCATAATAAACTGGTGTCTTGAGTTCCTTCTTCCATTCTGTAATGTATTAGATGTGTTCAAATATCAGTGACTCATATTGACTTGAGCATAAACTTGACTCAACTCGACCACACACCGTGACTCGACTCAGCTGGGCCTTCTTGACCTAATGACTCGACTCGACTCGACTCAAGTCACTTCCTTAATATGACTCGACTTGACTGAGTCACAAAATTCAGTGATTCAGTTACAACTCTGACAAACTCACAAAAGAGATTGTTCACATGGTGCTACCGTATAGCTTTATCTTTATGCTATTTTACAATGCAAACCTTCAAATCTGATATATCCCAGTACATACTAAATGGTGGACACAGTAGACTTTAGCCAAAGTTTGACATACCCACTTCTTGTTTTAAGCCCTTGATATGACATACCCACTTCTTGTTTTAAGCCCTTGATATGACATTCCCACTTCTTGTTTTAAGCCCTTGATATGACATACCCACTTCTTGTTTTAAGCCCTTGATATGACATTCCCACTTCTTGTTTTAAGCCCTTGATGACATACCCACTTCTTGTTTTAAGCCCTTGATATGACATACCCACTTCTTGTTTTAAGCCCTTGATATGACATAACCACTTCTTGTTTTAAGCCCTTGATATGTATACATGTATAACCTTTTCCTGTCTCTCAGGTAGCCTTAACCAGCATTAGCTTTGGCATTATAATCTTTTCGGTGTCACCATCTACATGTACCATATTTGACCATTTATGAATATGTACCTGTGGTCGAATACAATTTCTCCATTTTCTCTGCCCATCTATCTTCAGCGTGTTCAGCTTGAGCGCTACTATCAGCCGTCGTTGCTGTGCTGCTTTCTCCAAGTTGTTGGTGCTCTACTTCCACCATGGAGTCCTCTTCATCTTAAATAAAGTATAATTACCCCACAAGAAAAGCGTTAATTTTTAAACAAAATTTAGGGGGGAAAAGGCCGTATTGCAGTTTTTCATTGAGACTATAGTTATTGTTTGTTTATCATTCAGCTACCTTTCCGCTGGACTTTTTCCAACTCATCGAAGAATCTGCAGGCCTGTTTGTAGTCGCTTTCCGGAATAGTCGCCTGGATAGCCAAGTCACTCTTATCTCCTGTTGTCAATTCATCTGTGATGAGAAGCTCTGTCAGTTTCTTGTCGAGTTCTCCAGTGGTGTACATACTCCAGAGTTTGTTCAGACCCTCCCGACTCACAATACGAACAACAAATGTCACAGACCCAGATTTTACTTGTTCAAGCTCTCCGTCGCATGATTCTAGGAAAGCTGAGTATTGCTGATGTACATAATTCATTCCCTCCTTTTCAAACAATGCCTTCAAGCTTATCCACAACATCTGGGTCATGGGATCGTTCCTCGTCCCCTTTCTTGTTACGTCCGTCTCTATTGACACTTTTGGAAACTCTGAAAAACAAAACACCACGAAACCTCAAAATTAAAGCAAATTGATCTTACCAAGGTTACTGAAAAGAATTCAACTTTTCATCCTGGCAGATGATTTTTCTAGGCTAAAAGGCATAACCCCCGAGGCCTGAGGTTTCTGGGTATACTTCGACCTTCTCCACACTTTTCTTTCTATTTCATTTTTCATTCTTTTCCACTTAGCTTAGTTAAATTTTTCCCTGTTGCTTTCTTTTAAGTTACTTAAAAAAAAGCTATATATGTATCCTTGATCCTCCATAATCTGCGCAGGTAACGCTTTGCATGCATGCGCGTTGAAAATGCAAATGGAAGGTGAGTGTGTTGATTGAAATAGGATCGCACAGCTTTAGGGAGTCTGACGATATCTTTCTTATATTACTGCTATCTCTCAAAGTTTATAGCCTATATTCATGTTGTTGGTTTGTTGCTGTGGGGCAATTGACTGCATGCCTCAGCAGAAATTCCTCTTGAACACCATTTCGCCCTTGCCATGAGCTTGCTGGCCCGGGGAGTGCCACGCTTGAACCAATTTTGGGTGGCCACTGGTGTGACTGTCGTTACATATATTTTGGTCAGTTGTCAGTTCATTATTTTCAAACTAGCCGGTGCCAAGCGGGTTTTGTCTATGCTGTGCCTCTCCATCCTTTCATGATATTTTCCAGGATTTTATAGGTTTTAGTCATTTGTACCAATATTTAAGACTGCTTAATCATTGAAAGTTTTCACCATTTGCTTTTCAAACCATGATTGAAAACACTGAATATTATGTTTTCACCGATGTTCAGTGCGTCCAGCAACTGACAAAAAAATGATTATTACAGAAGTAAGATGCGGTTGCTTGTTGATTTATTAGCATCAGTATGACATGATCCCATACCGTTCTTTGATTAAGTTTGAGAATAATGAGATTCTTTATAAGAATTGATTTCTCAGCTGAAAAGATGATGCTTCACTTCAAGTCACTTTGTCCATAGTGTTGACATATGGACCAACATGTGTATTAGCATTGCATTGTGATGGAGATTTGGGATACGTTTATTGAAATGTCATTAAATATTTTGGGTTACCCAGATAAAACAACGCATTTAATATATTATTCCCTCCTTTACGTACTGTAGCCATCATATTCACTCACCTGGACTTTCTCTTCTGACAGTCACATTTTGAATGAAAGTCACATTACTGTTCTCAACAGTACTCAAAAAGATAGGATTGCAGCTTCCATCGACGTTTAGACTTGCAAGCTGCTGTGACCCGTTTGACCCGTATCTCTGTACGGCAGATTCTGAAGATGTGCTCAGAGGTGCTGAAGCTAAGGTATCTAAACCCGAGCTAGTCACTCTCTGTTTCTTTGACTGATGTCTGGCACAATCGACAGTCTCCTGTGTAAGTCTCCCTTGTTCAGGTAATGACATTACTTGGCGACCGTTTGGTTCCATTTTCTCATGCGAATCGTCCAATTGTTCTAACTGGGCAGTGTCATGGGTTCTCTTCATATGTTTTTTCTCTGAGCAAGATTCAGATTGTAACATGTGTTCTGAGGATTTTGATTCCATGACATCTGTTAGTTGCTGTTCCTCTGTCATTGCCCCAAGCTGTTCACCAATCTGCCCCTCTCCAATTCCAATTTGCATCACTGATGCAGCTGACGAGTGCTTGCTGCTAACATTTATGAACTCTTTCACTTGAGTTGCCTCTGTCTGGGATTCCTCCTGCTCTGTTCTTGTTTCATCAGCTGATGTCTTTCCCGCTTGAGACGACGCCATCTTCTTTGCGATTTCTTGCTCCTCTTGCTAAGTTGTCTCATGCAGACCTACAACCGTCGCTGATGACGTAGCGATATCATCATGCCCTTTTTATCCTTGATCTTCGTGTGCAATGCCAATTAGATCTAAGGAGAATAACATCAGAATTGAAGTTAGCTAACTTTGGAGTGTCTAGAGTGTTGAAGTTGAAGATTTTACAAGGGGACTGAAGATTAAGCCATATAAGCTAAAAGCAATTAATGAAAATTTCAAAAATCATCCAGGGATGACCCTTATTCAGGGAACAGAAACTTAGTCAATCTAAACCAATTCTCAATTCAAATGGATTGCCACAATAGAATACCTTGGTACTTGTTCATCACATACTTGTCAGTGCCATGACGTAGCCAGCGGAGTGGGTGGGGGGGGGGGGGGGGGGGTGGCCGGGGGTGGTAATGGGGTTTTCTTCATCCACCCCAATATTTTGTACAGACTGCCCTTTTCCATTCAAGTGCCCTTTATTCACAAGCGTTCCCCCTCCCAAAAAAAATGTGTTCACATCAGTGACTTTTGTTGTAATCAAGTGCCCTTTAAAAAAAATTAAATAAGTATCCTTTTTTTTACCAGCGACCTTTTATAAGTGCCCTTTTTGGAATTTCCCGTCACCGTTTTCTCGAAGGGCTGAATTCCTGAAAAATCTTCTCTGTGTATTGATATTTTCTTTGTGAAAATAATAAATATTATACACATTTAATATTCAATATTTTTGGTGAAAAGAATTAAATATTATATCACCATCTACAACCTGTTGAGGTTTTACTATCAAAAAAAATTCATTAGAATCCCAAGTACCCTAATTAACGAATGGGCAAATTTTCCTCTAGTGCTTTTTTGCGTTTTCACGTAGGGGCGAAAGAACGGGTCACAGTCTGCAGAGACAACAAATGAAGTGTTATAAGAGGCGGGACGAGTCTATGTAATACCGGTTGTAATGTCACCAACAGCAAATTTAGAAAAAGGATGATTTTTTTTTTTTTTTTGCAAAATTGCAATCAATTCTCTTATTTAGCGAGTGTTAATACTACCGTCCTGCGTATTACTCTCTGTATAGTGATCGAAACCGCATGAGCACTAGATGATAGTAATGAGTTTTCAGTAAATAAATAGGCTTACATTGTAATACAATGAAGCATTTTCACGAAGGGGCGAATTTTAAGGCGCATGCAAAATATGCGCGTACTATACACAAAATGTATTATGACTAAGACCACAGTAGGGCGAAATCTGAGCGACCTGACTCCAGCGTTTTCATGAGAGGGCGAATTTAACAGCCACAGGGGCAAATTTTCTACATTGTCGATTTTTTGTTTCCACGAACAGCCACTTCTCTTAATTGGTTAATTCTACAAAACTTATCACCTAAATATGGCATATATTCTATGCATCTTTACGTTTCAAATTGTTAAATGCTATTTTCTTTAATGTTAGTTCAGACAGTGATGAGTGAAAGAGTAAACTCGCCTCTTCGTGAAAAAGGGGGCGACTTGTGCCAACCTAAAAAGTGCCATCTATTGTCCAATAGTGTCCATGATCGCCAGGTTTGAACAGGCCCCCACCAACCCAACCCCCTCCGCCTCCCCCCACCCCCACCCCCGCCCCCGACTTTTTAATTTTATGGAGGCCAAGTGTCCGGAGACAAAAACATGTTAAACATTTCAACACGTATACATAATGTGCAAATGCCCTTTTCACAAACTTTTTTGCCCCCAGTAAACATGACCTTGCTATGCCTCTGGAGATGAACTTGTAATTGGACATTGGACAGACGCGACTACAACATTGTGTAATGAGTCATCAACTATTTGTTTTAAAATTAACATGAACTGTGTAATGACATTTCTTTAGTGCTAAGTCACTCATGCTGGAATATCAGAATTCAATTGGCCAAAGCTGTTGGTAGGCGTGGCTTTAAAGTCATCTACTGAGCAATACTGCATTTTGATTGGTAAATGCGCCTCTGTACTTAAGCAATGATGCATGGCGCCAATGGGCCTTAGTCTGATCTAGCGAAAGTTAAGACTGGCCATGCTGTGATCAGGGTCGAAGATACTATGCTATAAGACATTCAGAGGATTTGTTCCAGAAATTTTGATTAAAGTATATCCAGGCTTCAGTTTAAATACTCCAACGGCGTGGCTTGTACCATCATCATCTGCTGGCCGAGTGCCAATGACCGGACCATAGAGCTATATACTGGACTGCCTTGATGTACAAATGTAAGCCTACATGTACCTGCAGCTACAGTCTTGATGTTCCTGTCATAATCTGGCAGATGTTCGGACTTTCGCTTCGCCATTTTGTGACATCAGTGTGAACCAGCTCAGTGGGCATAATCTAGAAACAACAAATTGCACGAAAAAGTGGACACGGCTGGAAAGTGGAATTTGTATGAAATCTTCCAAACTACAAGCATCACAACACCACATGTGGTGTCAAATTAAAGGGGACAACAAGATTTTTCATTTGAGTGGGGTGCCAATGAGATGAAAAGTATTAAAATGTGATTTTGGGTCAAAGACCTTGTTTTTTTGGCTAAAATCATGGACTTTTGGTAGCCATTTTGGCACCTTGCTTTAACATGCAAAATGTGACTGTTATTGAGAGTTTTTGTGTTTTAGGCTGAGAAAAAGGTTCAGATATTATAAGGAAAGAGTTTCATTATGTTGCGGTTCATCAAACTCAGATGTTATGCCTTGTTAGAACCCACGAAGAGGAAGTAACGTGAGGTGACGTAACGTGAGTGCCCCTTTCATCTAGAATACACACTTATTTGATTCAAAAGGGGGGCTTATATCTAGCTATATGGATTGAATGAAGGTAAACTATTTATTTTTTTACTTTTGTGTTGCAGAGTACAGATTGAAGAGACAGTAACTACAAATTTGCACAGAACGCTTTTATCATGTCCTTTTTTTGTGACGTGAATGCATGACGACCAACAAAACACATGTTTTCAAAAAGTGAATTAAGGCCAAAAAAAAAGTCTCCGGTTTTTGGTATGCGTGCGCGTCGCCGTAGAAATGCGCGTCGGCAAAATGAAAAAGGTTTTTTTTTCAATGAAAGATGATGTCTCAAAACCGCCAAACTCACTGGTTTGACTGGAATCCTGCTGCTGCACAATTTTAACGTGTTTTTAGATTGGGTTATGGTCGAGAATAAGCTTTATGTGGCCTCTCTGGACCGCCATATATTTGCACTAAGTTTAGTCGGGCACCAATTGCAGTCATCAGCCGACATTTGAAGCAAACAAATCAGGTAAAATTAAAAAAAGCCGCGTCGCCGCACCATTTTGGGGGCAAGCTCCATACCAGAAACCGGAGACTTTTTTGGGGGGGCCTAAATGGATTGAATTTTTCTTTCCATTTTTGAGTACCCCTTACCCCAAGGTTGTTGTATGGCTGGTTTGATTCAGTTAGACCAACTACTTTTGAAGCCCTGATAGGTCAAATTAGCCTCGTGGTATACTGTAAATGTAACGCGAATATTTTGACAGAAGGCCTATACAGGTATACAGGTCATGCCTGGGCACAATCTGTTAAACTTCAAACTGACAAAAGTATAGCCCGAATAATAGAACCATCGCCTTTTTAACAATTGGACATGGTCTGGCGATTCTAGATTCTTAGGATCATCCCATGATCCCTATATTACGTGTACCACTAAAAGCAACATGCAGTGAAAATTCAGCTCACCTTGTTTTCATGCACATTACTATGTGTTGCAACAATACAAGATATTAATACTTGTTTTCATTGGAAGTGACATGAAAGTGATAACTTTTCAATTATTGGCAAATCCTTCATGTAAGAGGGCGCTATTTTGCTTTTGTCATACAAGGTACTCCTTGTCAAAAGTGCAAATGAACAGTACAAAAATTGGTCCTCCAAAATTACCCAGCAACAAAGAGTTTTGAAGCCTGAAGCCATGCTGTATACGGTGGCCCATGTGCATCGGATGTTATGCTGAGTGAGATCGCGAATAACAGCACAATGAAGTAAATGCGCACATAACTTACATAAGTGGACGGTAGTTTGAGGCCAGCGACCAGCTGCCTTTGTATGTGCCCTTGTTCTCTGATCTAAGGACAATGATGGAAGCTTGGCACAGGAGTGGCAGTGATGGGCGGTGCAATTTCTGCAGCACTAGTTTCTTTCACTTCAGCAAGCGTAGTCCCACTATTTAAAGTGGGTCGCTAGAACTCCTTTTTTGACATTTGGGATGTTGGTCTGTCGTACTAGCGACAGTAACATCCCAAATGTCAAAAAAGAGTTCTAGCGACCCAGTTAGTGGGACTAGGGGCCTAGCATGCCTAGGCCTCGCTACAGCAAGCGCACTGCTGAGAAATTTTGACACTAAACAGCTAGTCCTGAATTGTGCAGACCAGTCTCATTATAGGGTTCGTGCACACTGCACATGGTGAAGGTTTGTATACAGGTATGGAATTCTTACCATTGTAATATCAGAGCAAACAAAACAGTAACTTCATGATTTTCCCACTGAGTTTTCCTTCCAGGAAGTGAACCGCATTGAGCTATTAATGATTATCCAGGGTGACCATTAGGAAATGGCCTAATTCTGCTAGATGCACTTTAAAAAATCTGCTATATAGATTTAACCCAAAACTGCCAAATCATCCACAATTACACAAAACACATTCTAAACAATACGGACATGCAGATGTTAGAAGATTTCCTTTAAAAAGAACGAAATCATTAAATTTTCTTTAAAAACATAAGAAATAAAAAAAATAAATTTAAACGCCTACCGTATGGTGCACACACGTCAGGGAATCTCAACTGACCTGCCTTTCCCCGCTGTTCAAGGGTTTATTTGAAGTGATAGAAGTTAGTTCAATATGCTTCATTTTTCCCTGCCATGCAGGATCACTGATTTTACAGATTTCTGCTGGAAATCTGCTGAAATGTTCATTCAGCTAGATTTTCTGCTATATTCTTTTTTTATCCAAAAAAAATCTGATAGATCTAGCCGAAAATCAGCTAAAACGGTCACCTATTGATTTCTGAAATCTATAGAGGGCGCTATTTTTTTACCATTTCCGGTTCGCGATATTTGTAAATTGTATACACATTCGCTAAAATTAGCATGTCACACTATTGAACTTATACGGGGGTGCGGAAACGGTCTACCTGACGGGTACCTACAAGTACCCGTAAATGTTGGATTACATCTCACCATTTGTTTCCATCTTGTGAAATAGTTAGAAAAGAAAGAGGATGCAAGATTTTAAAAAAGACAAAAGATGAAGAAGAAGTTATAAGAAAAAAAGGTAAGAAGAAGACACAGTAGAAAAAGAAAATGTTAGAAGAGGAAGATCAAGTAGAAGAGGAAGATAAGTTAGAAGAGGACGATCAAGTTAAAGGGGAAGATTAAGTTACAGCATACTGAGCTGAGGAAGATATGTTAGGAGGAAGTCAAAGTAGAGGAAGTCAAATTAGAAGATGAAGATCCTTAGAAGAGGATGATTAAGTTATAAGAGGAAGATCGAGCTGCAAGAGGAAGATCAATTTAGAGGAGGAACATCAAAGAAGAACTGAAGGAGATCAAGTTAGAAGAGGAAAATCAAGTAAGAGAGGAAGATCGAGTCACAAGATGAATCAAAATCTAAAGAAGAGGCCGATCTTTTGCGGGGATCAATTTCGTTTTTTAGTCCCACGATTTGACCGTGGTGATGTGGACTATTTTGAAGTACTATGAAAGGGGTGACAATGGCGCTACCAACGTCAAAATCGTCCCCCCCCCCCCCAAAGGAAAATAATAATAATATTTAATAAAATAAAAAATTGGGCAACATTCTAAAGCGACCTGTAAATTTGACAAAAACTCACGTTTCACTACAAAACGTCAAACGCTGTTTTAGGAGATACATACGACCTGGTTGTACGGGTACGTGGAAGTTAGAAGAGGAAGATCAAGTTCGAAGAGGACGGTCAACTACAAGGTGAACAAGTTCAAAGAAGTTAGAAGATGGAGAAGTTAGTAGAAAGGCAGTAGAAGAGGGAAGAAAAGATATAGAAAGGAAAAAAATGTTAACCGTGAAGAAAAAAAAGATAATGAAGAGGTTAGGAGGGGACAGAAAGTAGAAGTTATACAAAATAAAAGAAGAGTTTAGAAGAAGTAGAAGTTAGCAGTAAATAGCAGACGAAGAATAACAGAGGAAAAAGCTAGAAGACTGAAGGAAGAAGTGATGAAGAGAGAGAAGACAGAACAAGAAAAAAATTAGGAAGAAAGCAGTTTGAAGAAGGAAAAGTGAGGAAAATAAGTAAGAAGAAGAAGAAGAAGAATGATTTAGAATAAGAACAAGTTAGAAAAAGAAAAGTTAGAATCGTAAGATAAAGTTAGAAAAGGAGGATCAAGTTTGAAGAGCGGGATCAGGTTTGAAGGTAGCAGACCGGCTCTGAGCAGATCGATTCTGCAACCGCATTTTGACCTCTGTTGTTGCACTGCATTCGAATTGACCAATCATACGTTTAGTCATGATTTGGAAATGAAATGATGTCACGATTTAGTAATGTCGTCTCCGATTGGCTGAGTTAGGTGAGATCGTATAAATCTGCATACTTTAATTGACATATCAGACGTTAGGAGACTTCTCCGTGGATAACGGGTGGAACTCAGACTATAGTTGAAGAGGGATCAGGTTCAATGATCGAGATCGAAGAGGAAAATCAAGTAGAAGAGGGAAAAAAAGTTAGGAGAGGCAACCTTTCTGGGACAGAAATAGAAGTTGGAATACTGAAATTAACCGTGACAGGATAGTGCCAATTGGGTCGGGATTCATATGAATTTTAATGAAAACGTTCATTATTTAGCTACAGTGTTCCTTTCATTTCAAGCAGAGGCGGAGGCTGTCATATGTTGAACGTAATACGACTCGAGAAAGGCTCGGAAATGGGGGACTAGTTATTAGAGAAAATTAGCATACAAACAGGATACTGATTTATTTATAGCTTTGTATGCCAAAGTTATGCCAAATTTGTTAGCACCGTAATTTCTTGACGAGAATTTTTGTATGATCTATATGACTGATAGTGACAGGTGTTGGAGCTCTCTTTGTCGCATGGATCCTGAATAAACATGTATGTATGATTGGTTACCAGCGCTATTTTGTTGAAACTTTAAGGCAAAGTACCTGTGCAATATCTCGACGAGACAAAACGGGTTAATCAACATCGTCCCCAGTGCTTACTTTATTTCCAACATGTTTCCATTTATAGTAAGCCCTGGATAGATCAGCTAGTGGTGGGCACGTACTGCTCGACACCCTGGAGACGAGGTTGGGTTTTAATCATTGAGATCAATGGTTTTAATGCACTTTAAAAAAAAAAAAAACGTTTTCTTTCAGTGGCTATGCTTCAGACACAACCTCGTCCCCAGTGCTTACTTTATTTCCAACCGCATTGAGAAAGCAGGTAGTAGTGGGCGCGTACTGCTCGACACCCTGGGGACGAGGTTGCTTCAGACATGCTTCAGACAAGAATAAAGAATTTTAAACTGAAAGAAAATTGTATAAATTCTACCTACACTATTGTATGATTAAATTTTTCTGACGTGGATCACGGAACCATATCGATTTTTTTAAGCATTCATGAGTCGAATTTGACGCACAAATTCGTGAAGCCAAACATGCAAAATGAGTCCGAGGTTTCAAAAATATTTGTAGTCTGGTGAACAATATTACTGCACTGTGCGGCTGCGCTATAATGTGAACTGAGTGGTATGGTGCGGGAAACAGACCAATCGCACCAACATTCTTCTGATGGCGGATGATTCCGACGAAGAGAGTCGAGGTGTAAGTCCAATTTTTCCACATTTATTTTATATTTCTTCAACTAAAACCTTCACTTTCACGGAAGAAAGTACCGTAGTATTTAATGTGTTACTAGAATGGTGTATTTCGTACCTTTGTTTCATAGAAATATGGTTGCCAAATTTAATGGATTGAGCACAAAATGAAGGACAGCGTTGTTGCTAGGATTTTGTACACAACTTTTTTACGCCATTGGTTATGCACATTGACATTGTCGTGGTTGTTGCTGCCGCAAAATGTATGACTAGGCCTAGCTAGCTAGGGGGCCAAGGATGTTTTTGGTTTTTTTTGGTTAAACTAAAAGTCCAATAAACTCTCATTGCCTTCAACCCCTTTGGGCCATCATTATTGAAGAACATTTTGGTCTTCGCAACTCAGTCTTGGCCAAGTAAATGTTTCTTTTTACTTGGCCAATACTGAGTTGCCAAGACCAAAATGTTCTTCAATAATGATGGCCCGAAGGGGTTGAAGGCAATGAAAGTTTATAGCCTAGGCCCCTAGTTGATTTATTGATTGTCACTAATGTCAGGGTTTTTTCCAGTGTATATTTTGCCGGAGACGGCAAACCTTTAGTAAATGTTAGTTTGTCGGATATTCCACTGAACATGCGCAGTTACTGTTTTTTTGTACTAACATTTTCCGGTGACAAGTTTTAGTCTGGCTCCATGCCAAAATTATCGTTGTTACCTCGTATTCACAAGATGGGATTCAGACCATATTATAACATGTATAATTTCAGACTTTATTTCCCTTTTAAAAAAAATCCTCCAGAGCCACAAATCTGAAAAAGAAAATTTTTTGCAGAGTAGGCCTGCCTACTCTGCAAAAAATGTTTGAGACATGTTTAAATAATAAAAGAAGAATATTCTTATTTATTTGGGGATGAGAAAAAAAAACCTTAAAAATGTGGTGCAGTCGGAATCGAACGCGAGTCATCCCGCTTACTAGAGCCTCAGCTTAACCACTACACCAAACGTGCTATGCAACTTTTGGTGGGAATTTAATACATCTTATAATTCAGCCCTATCTTAAAGAGTACAGCGCCCTCTGTTGATATGGATTGCCGCCGGCAAACCTTTAGTAAACGTTAGTTTGCCGTCATTACCTCCGGCAAAATATCCACTATCTTAATTACACTGCCTGGTGATCGACTAAGGCATTTGACCTCATTGAAATCAGAATAGAAAAGATACAGCCTAGTTACAGGGCGAGTAATAAAAAAAGTGGAACCCCCAAAATTTCATATTTAAAACAATATGTAACATCAAAAAATTACAAAAATAAAAGTTACTGGAAGGCCAATTTCATAAGCTACTTTTAGATGAAAGAATTTCTGAAATTGTTCAATCCGTTCAAGCAATAGTGATAATTTAAAGACAATGATCCTAAAAGCTCTTTCGTCCAAAAATGCGATTCTAAGAATCGACGTCACAATCGTCTTCAAATATCACCAGCGATAGGCTAAAATCTCAGTTTAATATGTTTAAAGGTTAAAACTATTCAACCAAGTCCTTTTGAAGGCCCGTCTTTTCTTAAAACAATGGATTTTATCAATCAAATTGGTTGCCCATGCTGGTTTGTTAATAAAGATATTGTAGTTGTTGATAGTTGTTGAAACAATGTTTCTGTGTCATTTTCTTTGTTGTTCCAAACAGTCAGAATAAACAATAAATTGCTGGGTTTTTTTTGACGAAACAGGTGTTAGGATCATTGCTTTTAAATGGTAATATTCTTTGAACGGATTGAACAATTTCAGTAACATTTTTTATTTAAAAGTAGTTCCTGAAAATGGCTTTTCAGTCACTATTATTTTTGGCGCTTCATATTGCTTCAAATATGAAATATATGTTTGGGGGTTGGGGTTCCGCTTTTTTTGACTCACCCTGTAGTTCTGTTAATTTTTAGTGTAAAAATGAATATTGATTTATATTAAGAATTTCAAATTTTACACATCTGTGGTATGTACTCCATCGAGTTTGCACATCAAGGATTAAAACAAATTGTTTTGTTGCTTTTGCAGACTAAACTTGTGACCAACCAACCCTATGATGAGTCCTTAGAGATCCCAGACGCTGAGGAGGTTGCATCTCAGTACACACCCAGCCCCAGGCAACCTGGTACTCTCCCAGGTACTGTATCACCCTGTCTGTACACCTGTTTGTCCTAGGGTAGCAGACCAGTAAATAAACTTCCATGTAGACCCCAATGGTAAATGCTCCCACTTCAAAAATACGGGAAAAATACTCACAACTCTCCAAGGTGTTCGAGACACACATCAAATTAAAGCTTATTTCATCATCTTTCATTTTCTTTTCAATTTTCGGGGGGTCAATTGAATAGGACATCGTACGGGGTACGTGCGGTTGGATCGTTGTTTATTTTTCGCTGTGTCGTACGGCCAGTGCGCAATGCTCGAAGTCGCTGCGCTTGTTGTATACGAACAAACGGAATTGGGAGCAGATTTTTTTTTTTGCAACCAAAATTTATAGCGTTGCGGTAGCGTAGCGGCACGATTTAAGCGTAGCACTTATTTCCGAAAGCGTAGTGGGTGCTAGCGCTATTTAATGCCTGGCTAGAACACTGCAACTGATGACTTTAAAGAGAAATTTCCATCTGAAATGATCACCCCTGAAAATAGTCCTGAAGCCCATCGCCATTTTGAAAAACGATGCCTACACTCCATTGCAAAGTAGAGCGCTTTTAGGGTCCAAATTACATCCAAATTACACAGAACTGCAAGCTCCCAGTCCTGTGCACGGCTTCCACCCATATTTTTTACAAACCCTCAAGTTCATGGCCCACAGCATGCTCAAATACTGAAGATTTTGAGGGCATGCAAATCGTGATTTGGCCGGCGTAGGCAATTTTGGACCGATTTACTGGTCTGCACCCCTAGGTTATGTCTCAGTTGCTCTCTTCTGTGCACTCAGACTTGCATGTTGTACAATGTTCCGCATGGACACTTTTACAGATAGATTGGAAGTGTGCAGTGAAGGAACAATACACATGTGTGCTGCTCGTTGCATCAAGGACAGTTTGCGCGACGAACATGATTTTGTGCTGCACAAAACGTCCCACAATGCATCATAATCATCATTATGGGGTGCTGTAGTCCAATGGTTACGGTGTTCGACTCGTGTGCCGTGGTACACCGGTTCGAATCCTGACCGTGGGAACATGGTGCTTGTGCTCCTGAGCAAGGCACTTTACCATTATTGCTTCGTCCTTCGGATGGGATGTAAAGCCGTAGGTCCCGTGTGTTGTGTAATGCACGTTAAAGAACCCAGTAGCACTTGTCGCTAAGAGGAGGGGTTTGCCCCGGTGTTTCTGGCAGTGGTAGCAATTATGCGCCGCAGCACCTAGCAAAAAGGTGCTACATAATGGGTCTCATAATGTTCATATACTTCATTTACCTGGCTTTGGTTGCATTCTCCCCCAGCGCATTGTATCCTCTGGCAAAAAGCGCTATACAAATACAGTTATTATTATTATTATTATAACATATGCCTGCACTGCACGTATCCAGTCTGACAGCTATCCGTTAACCCTAACTGTGCTGAATCCTTCCAAATCCTCTTTGCCAAAGTGGAGGAATTTGGAGGATTGAGGTTACATGGCAAAAGTGCTTTACTGGTTTCACACCGGTAGGATGCACTTTGTCAAGGTCTTGGGCCGGACCTTGTGTGTTTGTGATCAGCCATGCATAAATATAGGTCTGGATTATGCTTGAAATCCTCCGTACTGCTCCAGGATGTCATTGGCCAAGCCCCAACATATTGACAGTCACTGCCGCAGGATTGTGCAGGATTCCCACTATGAACATCTTCATCCCTTAAAAATTCGTTTAAGAGCCATTTTCCCATGAAATTACAGTTAACTAAATTTTCACGGATTGTTCAACATATTCAGCCATATTAAGAGTCCGTGAAAACACCCTTAAGAAAGTCCTTTGTTTACCCATGGAGATAGACCCAGTGTACCGTTATGTATAACCAATGATAATCCTCAGTGGCCAGGGTCATTAAAAAAAAACGGGAAAATACCCTTCCATGATTAGTCCTATATAAGCCCCATGTAAATGTCAGTGAAACATCTCTTAAAGATTCTTTTTACTGAGAAATGGACTTTTAATGACAATTTAAGGGATCAGATGGACCATATTCATGAACTAATGGAGGAATTAATTTGCAGGATTGAGGCTACATGTGGATGTTTACATAAATGTGGAGGCCAGTGGTATAATGCACATGGTGTTGCCACTGGTTTTCAATGATATCCGTTCCAGCCCTGTCAACTTGACTCTCTCCTGGATGTATCACTCTTGTCTATCCACATGTCCGTTCAGGGTTCTGTAGAGTAGTTTTTCTTTGTTGCACAATTCTGTCCACTCCAGCCCCATAAAAATTAGGGGTCTGTGTGGTAGGAGATTGCCGTTGTCATAAACCTCAGCCCACACATACTGAATTTTGTATTCTTGTGGAGACATTTCTTTGTTCTCGTGTAGTAAAGTTTTCGAGTTTGAATGTGAAGTTTCAAAATGCTCTTATTTTAACCAGAATTAATTTCCTTGGCTGAAATTCGGACTTAATATCCCTTTTCTAAAACTCTTCCATTTCTGACGGATCACCCACCTTGGAAATTCCTAGTTTTTGAGTAAAATCCATATCTATTTCGTGAAAATCTTGTGGAGACGTACATATATTCATCTATAGAAATTGCCCTGTGGAGACGTATACAATCTTTTGTTCCCCATTGTGTGCACGTCTCCAGAGGGCACGGTGTATCAGATCATAACCTACATGCAGTTCTCTCTTTAGTGTGTCAATCTTCCTCGACACCCGCCCAGGGTTTGTTTTACATTTATGGTACTGTACAGATCAAGGCACAATAACACTTTGTCTGTTTTTAGAGCTGCCGCACAATTCCAAAGAAAGTCGAACAAAAATAGTTTCAAAGTGGTGGGCGGAGGTGATTCTAATGAACGAACAAAATCATACACAATCAGCCATCGTAAATGCTTTTTTCCATTATCCTCGTCCGAGATGTTTAGATTATTTAAAACGTAAAATTGATCGGAGGTTTATTGCGCAATACATTTGTTGTAAAAGTCCTGCGCATGGCGTAAGTTACACACTGTTTTGTGAAATCACCTGCAGGTCGGAGTATTTAAGCCACTGTTCTGCATTTCTGTTTACTTTTACTCTTCGGTGTAAAAGTGAACTCTGTGTGTATGTGTCCATCCTATCTTTTCCAGGTTCATCTGTTTATAATTTTTTTATTATTTTGTTTGGTGTCACTGATCTTTTCTTGTCCCTTCATTTTCAGCTCGTGGGAGTAGTCTGCACACCGGTGGCATCAGGGGCATAGCCTCACCAGGCTCAATGGACGACAATTCAGACGACGATTTTGAACAGGGTCCCATGGAAACAAAGGTATTGAAACGAACAGTTGAAATGTAAAGATAATAATAAATAACTACCTCCATTTTTGCTAGGAATCAATTTTTGAGAGTCTTGCTCAAAAAAAGAAAAGTCGACAAAATGTGGTAAAATCCATTGGTGCATTTTTCAATTCCTCCCCTGCCAGGTGCACCTGCGTACAGCACCGGTAAAAAGTTGCATGAAGAGGGCGCTATTTAAAATGTACGCGTGGTGATCGATATGAGGACCTGGAGTGTTTTGCACTTTAGTATAGTGTTTAAAGAGGTTGTGGAATGCCCGAAGACATTTCCGTCATTTTTTCGGGTATATGTAGCCTAAGGTGTGATGAAATAAAAACGACTATTGTTTCTGTCATGAAATGAGTACAAAGGGTACTTTTGAGAGCAATTTGTGTAAAGTCGTCATTGCGGGCAGCAAACAAAACACAGTAAATCGTGACGTAATAAACAGGACTCGTTTATGCTACTCTGCATCGGGAGTCCTGTTTATTACGTCACGATTTACTGTGTTTTGTTTGCTGCCCGCAACGACGACTTTTACACAAATTGCACGTTCGGGTCGAAACAGGCATGACAGGACTTGAAAAACAGCTCTCAAAAGTACCTTTTGTACTCATTTTATGACAGAAACAATAGTCGTTTTTATTTCATCACACCTTAGGCTGCATATACCCGAAAAATGACGGAAATGTCTTCGAGCATTCCACAACCTCTTTAAAGGGCTTTAACCTGGTACAAGGATTTGAACAGCTAACCACAATTGATAAAAAAGTAATACCGCCGACTGAAATGTGGCACCTAGCAATGAAGCGTCGCAACTTTAGGATAAAATAAAATCACAGTCACACGTGTATGTGCGTAGTTCTTTTGTTTTATATGAATATTCAAACCAGCAAAAAGCTGTATTCAAATATTCGGTAGATGATAGAATATTCAAATATTTGGTGTATTCAGGACAGTTCTAACCATATACATCTCATCCCCTCCTCGCAGAGTCTGTTTTTGGGTTTGTTTGTTTTTGTAGGCGACAACTTTGTTTCACCTGTGTATTCCACTAAAATCCATGCACAATTGTTCAAAACACCCTTACCCCCTTTTAAAGGGAAAATACAACATTTGCAAACATCAAAAAATAAAACCACCAAATCATTTTGAAATACCTTGCTGGACTGTGTTAGTGAATGACAGTGTAAAGCATCCTGTAAAATCATGGCACCTGGTATACTGTCATTTTCAAGAAAAGTGCTATTTTTGTATCAATTTCCAACGCTGATCGGCCGATCAGCGTTGGAAAAAACTTGCTTTTTTCAAATACTGGCCCCAATTGACCATCGCACTTGTTTGCAACCGATTACACACCTATGAACGGGTACAAGCCAGCTAGACTGGTTCCCTGACCTTACAATTCCCCAACGTATGTAAACTGCTCTGTTTCTTCTTCATGGAGTCAGGGAACCAGACTACAGGAAAATGATTGTTTTTCTTGGTTTTTATAGCATTTTTGAACCCAAAACCTCAAAAAAGTCAGTGTAACTATATTTGCTATATATTTCCAACCCCCCAATTCCATCCATTTCTGAAAATTACAGCAAAAGCAAATGATGTATATTCCCTTTAATCCCCACACTTTGTCCTCCACTCCCTCTACAACCCTCCCCCTCCCCTCCAACCCTCCCCCTCCCCTCCAACCCTCCCCCTCTTCCTCTCTGATCCTGCTAAATTGAAATCCAACCTGCTAAATCTTCCCTGTAATTTTTTTTTTTAACCATTCCTAGCACAACTCTTTGTTGTTTTTGTTTCCCCCTTATTCTGTGCACGTTAAGGATATGGATCAAACCGTGAAGGTAACAATAAACACTGTACACTGTACAAGTTTCCAAATTTTTTTGACCAAACGGTTTTCGTGAACAAGACTTTGCTTAGTGGTGTCGCATTGTTCGCTCTTCAGTAATTGGTAACGTACCGAACCAAGCTATAGGGCCTTTCACACTTTCCAAAATCTGTGAGATTTCAGAAACCCCTTTTGTATATGAAATCGTCACCGTTTTCACGAAGAGCCACATATGTGGATTTTGAAGAAAAAGCGTTTTCGAGGTGATCGAAAAGAAGTTTCTACTATTTTTAAAACTGCAAAAATTATTACTTTGCAACAAACTTTCACTTGATTCTATGTGAGGTGAATTTTTACGTGAACCCAGTAATTAGAATTAACTTAGTTAATTAGCGAAAAATTAATTAGTAAAGATATGTGTCTGTTCGTGAAAATGAAAATTCAGGTTTTCTGCATTTTGGCCCTCTCTGTTCAATGTGTTTTCCATATGGAAGGGGCGTGCGTACGAGCGCGCAGCTGACAATGTACATGTAACAAAAGGCTCTTTGTGAAAACGAAAATCTCAGTTGACCTACTTTTACGCCTTTCTGTGCAATAGGTTTTGTACGCGTTCAAGGGGTTAAAATGTATGTTACTCTTCGTGAAAATGCAAAATACAATTATCGAGATGTCTGCCCCTTGCATCATCAATGTTATTTGGAAATTAATGATGTTTTGCTTACAGAAATATGTAAAAATGATTGAGTACAATGTTCTAAAGCAAAACAGTGAGAGAAAAAAATTGAAATCGAAAAAATTGTAATTTCGTGAAAACGGTGCCTAAATGTGCTCCAATAGACTGTTTTCATATGGTAACTGGCTTCGTTAGTTTAATTTAGAAACAATGAATGTACCAAAGCCTGCTCATGTAAATCACTGTGAAACAAAAGCATAGCACCTCCAAATTCATGGTCATACAATGGTAGTTCTAGAACCATACCTACATTTGTATGTACTGTTTTAAATCACAAGATCAAAGGACTATTTAATTTAACATTTACTCAGTACAGTTTACTAGTCCAGTTCCTGTACTGTATCTTGGATTTTCTTTACTTTTTTATTGTATTATTATTGATACAGCTTCAGTTTGCGGTAACACCATGTGGTTGTGTCTACTTTTGCTCAGTAGATTTAGTTCCAATAAGAACTGTCCTGCTGGTTCAAAATAAGGAAATTGTCCTGCTTATTATCATTCAGTCTCAGTGAAGATAATTGCGAGAAGTCCCACCGCCTTCCATTGTACTTAGCAAAAGTGGATAATAAGCAGGACAAGTTCCTTTTTTGAACCAGCAGGACAGTTCTTATCGAAAACTAAATCTACTGAACAAAGTAGACACAACCACATAGTGTTACCACAAACCGAGAACTAAATCGATACTCCACCATGCAAAGCCTAAAATCTTGTACCGGTATTATTATTATCTTTACCCAAGTGAAATTCAGAAGGGTGCCACATACATACATGTACTGAGACATTTTTTTTTTTTTTAACACAGACTCTATTTCGCAAAGAACTGTCTTTTAATTTTGCATGCCACTTTGTACGTATGTATCTCTCTCGCATTGAATAGTTTTCTTCTTTAATGTATGTTTAGTTTAAATAAAAAGTAATCTTTTGTACAATAACCACCCAAATTTGCCTCCCTGCATTCTGGTTAAAAGGATTTGGATGAATCTTATCAGATAGCTCAAATGATAAGCCCCGCCCAGGTATACATTTGCATAATATGAATATTCACAGTGTGTATTGATGTGTGGCAGTGCTGCACATTGCCTTTGCACAGTTTAAAATTGCGAATCACTTATGTTCAAACTAACAAATTTACAATTACAAGTTGTTTGATGTCTTTTAACCATTCGCGCCGGATGACGTGTATACACGCAAAGGTTTTACGGTATTCGGAACGGATGACGGATAAACACGCAGGGAGGGAGGCCGGAAACATCTGTCAGCGACCCGCTCGCAGCGAGTGAGGCCGGAAATATGAGTGTGCTGCCCGAGGGTGATGGCTTCAACCCGCCTGGCTGAGGCCAAGCGAAAAATAATCCTGCGCCTTATTCCGTTCTTGTCAAAATAATACCGGCGCGAACTGGTTAAATGTCAGCAATTTTTCAACATGTCACTGCCCCAGGAACTTGTACAGCTTCACAGCAGAAGCAGAATACAGGGGTGTGAAATCTCAGCTTTAAAGCTGATTTCAGCTGTTTTTGTTTTGGATTTCAGCTTTTTTCCCTCACTTTGCTGTGTACAAAAGTATAGGAGATTTCCAAGGTTCAGCTTTTTCAGCTATTTTTATCAGTGGTCACTCACACCCCTGAGAATACTTGCAGTGTATATATTTCATCTTTCTACAATTATTTCTAAATTACTTTTCCTTCAGTTTTCCTAAGTCACAACACCTACTGTAAGGTTTTTGTGGTTATTTGATGATGCCTGATTACCGGTGGATCAGTAGAGTTTTTCTGGCTGTGTAGTGCTGTGAGAATGCACCTGGGCCCAATTTCACGGCGCTGCTAAGCACACAATTTTCTGCTAATATAGCCTCCATCTATTTCACAGAGACGGTAAGCATAAGCACAGCAAAAGGCACGCTAACTTCAAGGAAAAATTTGCTTAACTTAGTGATGTAACAATATAGATCTCCATGCACGCGCGACCGTTAGCACACAAACGCCGTGAAATAGTGCTTAAGGTTAGCGAATTTTTCTGCTATGCTATACACAACTTTTCTGCTAACTGTTAAGCAGCGCGGTGAAATTGGGCCCTGGACAGTTGATGCACATAGCTGATGATGGTAGTGAACTGTAGGGTGTTTTCCAAACCATGGCTAAGTCTAAAGCTTTGGCTTCAGGGCCCCTGAGTTAGGGGGAGGGTGAAATATGTGACGGGGAACTCTCTAGCCCAATATAAAACCACAGGTTGCAGTGTTCTCCAACTTTGAAAATTAAAGGTCAGTGCGTGGTCAAAAAGCGGAGGGGGGGGGGCGCTATGTTAGGGGCGCTATTTGCAGTCATACATTTCTTTATGCTAGGGGGTGCTATTTGCAGACGAACATGTACATTATGTACGGATAACAGCTTTTAGGCCATTTCTAACACAGTAACACTAACAATTAAGTACAATACTGGCTTAGCATCACCTGTTTTTTTTAACACATCAGTGACCATGGACTCTGAGGCAGTTTGGCCTTGAGACTTTTGACCTGATTGATTGCTACAATGGGCAGGCTTGTCAGTTTGACAAGTGTTCCATGTAACTGCTTTTGGCAGAGTTTCTGGCCAAAATGTAGTCCCACTTGTTTTTCTTTTTTGTTATTTTTTCCTTTCTTTTAAAGCATGGCGGGCAAGTTTTTAAGGTTGGCGGCAGCTTTTGAAGTTTGGCGGGTGCCTCAGAAAGCTTGGCAGGGCACCAGGTTATATTTACAGGTTGGAGAACACTGGATTGCTTCAGGGACACCAATGTAGGGGAAAACTTTAGAGTGTTTCCATTTAGTTTGGAACCCATCTAGACAAAGCCAAAGCCAGAATCATAGCCGTGGTTTAAAAAAAACCGGGTGATAAAGGCAGTTTTTGAAACCTCCGTTTAGTGACACGCTTGTTTTCTTTTGTTTGGCTCCTCAGCCCATTTCCCAGATTCCACAGCAGCGGCAAGCTCCGGCAAGGCAGCAGGTGCCGTCGGACGATGACGACGATGAAGAAGACGATGATGATGATGATGAAGACGGGAGTGACTCGTCTGAGGAGGATGAAGAGGAGGAGGAGGGAAGAAATATGGCTCTAGAGGGGTAAGGTCATTATGGGGGTCATGATGGTGATGGTGAGTAGGGTAGTAGTGGTGAAGACAGGACTGACTTGAAGGAGGAGGGGGATAAGGAGGAGGGAAGAAATAAGGTTCTGGTGGAGTATTAAGGCAGTGATGGTAATTGGGTAGTGTTCGGAAAGATTGAACTGACTCGTCGGAGGAGGATCAGATGTAGATGGCAAAAAAATAAGGCTCTGGAGTATTAAGGCAGTGATGGGTCATAGTGGTGATAATGATAGGTTAGTGGTGGTGAAGATGGAAGTGACTTGACAGGGGAGGAGGAGGAGGGAAGAAATATGGCTCTAGAGGGTAAGGTCATTAATGGAGATCATGATGGTGATGGTAACTAGGGTAGTGGTCGAGAAGATTGGACTGACTCGGAGGAGGATAAGACAGAGTTGGAGATGAATAAGGCTCTAAGGTGATAATGATAGGGAAGTAGTGGTGAAGATGGAAGTGGCTTGGCAGAGGAGGAGGAGGGAAGAAATATGGCTCTGGGGGAAAAGGTCGTTATGGGGTCGTGGTGGTGATGGTGAGTTGGGTAATAGTGGTGAAGACAGAAGTGACCCATCAGATGAGGATGAGGAGGAGGGAAGAAATATGGCTCTTGGGGGAAAGGTTGTTATGGGGATCGTGGTGGTGACGGTGAGTAGGGTAATAGTGGTGAAGACGGAAGTGACTCGTCAGAGGAGGATGAGGAGGAGGGAGAAATATGGCTCTGGGGGAAAAGGTCGTTATCGGGGTCGTGGTGGTGATGGTGAGTAGGGTAATAGTGAAGACGAAAGTGACCCATCAGAGGAGGATGAGGAGGAGGGAAGAAATATGGCTCTGGGGGAAAAGGTCGTTATTGGGGTCGTGGTGGTGATGGTGAGTAGGGTAATAGTGAAGACGGAAGTGACCCATCAGAGGAGGATGAGGAGGAGGGAAGAAATATGGCTCTGGAGGAAAAGGTCATTATGGGGTCGTGGTGAGTAGGGTAATAGTGGTGAAGACGGAAGTGACCCATCAGAGGAGGATGAGGAGGGGGAAGAAATATGGCTCTGGGGGAAAAGGTCATTATGGGGTCGTGGTGGTGATGGTGAGTAGGGTAATAGTGGTGAAGACGGAAGTGACCCATCAGAGTAGGATGAGGAGGAGGGAGAAATATGGCTCTGGGGGGGAAAAGGTCACAATGGGGGTCGTGGTGGTGATGGTGAGTAGGGTAATAGTGTTGAAGATGAAAGTGACTCGTCAGAGAAGGATGAAGAGGAGGAAGAGGAATGAAATACCATGGATCTGAAGGGGTACGGTTGTAATGCAACTAACGCAACTTTAAGGCCATAAATTGTGGTGTAAGGGGAGTTATACCATGGCGTAAAGTTTAATGAAATTGGCTGCTGCCCTCTCGGCACCCCTTGTAGAGTACGCTGGGCAATGATGTGAAATGATGATGATGCTAACATAGTGATGATGATTTTGTGAAGCTAGAGATACTGCCTGTATTGCCTCTCATTAAAATCGTCAAAAACACTTCTTTGTTTTTCAGAGCGTACGATCCAGCCGAGTATGAGAACCTACCAGTCAGCTCCGACATCAAGGAGCTGTTCCAGTACATCACTCGCTACACGCCTCAGACCATAGAGCTGGAACACAAGCTGAAGCCGTTCATTCCCGACTACATTCCAGCAGTGGGCGACATTGATGCCTTCATCAAGGTATGTAGTGGACTTAAGGCCAAAAAAAAAAAGTCTCCGGTTTCTGGTATGCGCGCGCGTCGCCGCAGCCATGCGCGTCGGCAAAATGAAAAAGTTTTTTTTTCAATACAAGATGATGTCTCAAAACCGCCAAACTCACTGGTTTGACTGGAATTCTGCTGCTGCACAATTTTAACGTGTTTTTAGATGGGGTTATGATCGAGAGTAAGCTTTATGTGGCCTCTCTGGACTCCCATATATTTGCACTAAGTTTAGTCGGGCACCATTTGCAGTCATCAGCCGACATTTGAAGCCAAAAAAAAAAAAAAAAAAGCCGCGTCGCCGCACCACTTTTGAGGCAAGCTCCATACCAGAAACCGGAGACTTTTTTTTTTGGCCTAAGAGGCTAAAGGGTTGGTTGTTGGTTGAGTGGGATGGAGGGTTAAACCTCAGTTATTAGGGAGGTTTCGCAAGCGAACGGATACGCTTACACTTACGCTTAGCTATCCGTATCAGTTTTTTACTTACGTGTAGCGAGCGAGATATGCGTGTCGTCTGCACGTTTAGCTGATAGTGAGTGGTGTATGACGTCATACGTGCTGACGACACGCATATCTCGATCACTACACGTAAGTAAAAAACGGACATGGATAGCTAAACGTAAGTGTAAGCGTATCGGTTCGCTTGCGAAACCTCCCTTTTATGTGAATACTAGCGGCATGCCGCGCTTTGCATGGCACCCGTAAGCTGAGCAGAGTCATAGTTTATTGTTTACTTTGACTCATAGAACTATATTAAATTACTAGAGCGCTAACTCCTCATTCTTGCGCGCGGAGACGCTTTGAAGCCGCTCTGGGCGCAGACATTTTGAACTTATGTGCGTGTTTGTAGAACACAATCAAAGTAGATGGATTGAATTTTAAAAGTGTACTCTAAATGCAACGCGCAAGTAGAAGATACGCAAACATCTTAAGCGGGTCATGACGGTTCAAAAAACGTCACGGCGAAAAGCATCTGCAGCGGAGGGACGCGCACACGTTGCGCTGTTTGCGTAGAGCAAAACGAAACGCTCATTTGCTGATCGTGCATTTCGGTTTTGGGCGTGTTGGCTTCGATGACGCACCGGTATGGAATACAGACGCAGATATGCAAATAGCCGTACAAAAGCCATACAAAATTTTGAGTTTTCCATAGGTTTGTGCACAAACATGGGTGCCCCCATCAGGCATTACTTTGTACATCAAGTTAGCGCTCTAGTAATTTAATATAGCTCTATGCTTTGACTTCAATTTGCATGTTGACCCCAAGTGGGCGTAGTAAACCTTGATGCAGCAATTTTGCCACATTTTTCATCATCAACGTTATGTTTTGCGTAATAGCGATACTGATACATTTTGGGGTGTTTGCACAGAGATAATGTTGTAATATGTAACTATTCGAAGTCTGAAAGAAAAAAATGTGCCAAAAAAGCAAAACAAAATAAATCATTTATTTCACGTGCCAACTGTGACGTCAAAGGACATTAAAATCAGAGCATACATTTATTAAAGGACCATTTAAGTGCTTGCACACACGCTTTTAGGCCTTTTACAATAAAGATGACACACAGACATCAGACAGACATCAGATTTCAGACAAACAGACAGACAGACAGCGTAGGATCTTTTAATTTAGGATGCCCGTTTTGCTTGCTACCCGACGAATGTAAACGGGCATTTTCTGAACAATTGTGATGCCATCAAGCTAAATGAGTCATTTGTCAGGAATTTTTATGTGGAGATACAGGCCAAAATAGAGGTCCACTTCATCACATCACTTCATCACATCTGTTGGTGTTCCGACTTCCATGATTTTTGAACTAAAGATGGTATCAGCATGCGGTTTTCACAGCAGTAATGCTGAGATTGTGCTCTTTTGAAATCTGTAATAAAATTTGTTTTGACCAGGGTCGACAAACGACTCATGTAGCTTGATCGTATCACAATTGCTTTCAGTATGTTTGGGGATCTCCATGAGGGTACAGTTTTTGGCCTGGATTGATGTACATCCCAGCAAGCTCAGCATCACGCACCTGTTGTAATTAGCAACTCAGCATCTCTAGAAACACAAGCCCAAAGACTAGACTCAGTCCTTCTGATTTAAAAATCACAGGTGTGTGGAACAAGGCACACCTTGATTTTTCTAGGCGTGTGATTTATTCTAGGCGTGTGATTCTGTGGTCCAAGCTGGGAATGAACAATCTGGTATTGTTTTTATAATATTCATCTAGGTTTACAGTAAAGCCATGTCAAGAGCTCACTAAAAGGGGTTGTTTATTGCCCAATCCTACCAATTTTTTTATTAATCTGTCCACCACAGACCCAAGGATCTTTATTCGAAGTTTTTTATGTGTACTTTATACGGTATGGTAGCTAAATCATAATTCCTGTAGGAATATTTTGCAAGCTTTCTTAAATCTGAATTACTTTTGCAGGAGAACCCATAGATATTGGGTAGTGGTACGGTACACTGAAAATGTAATAATTCAAGTTCTGGGTTTCCGGTCTTGGTACTATAAATTATATTGATATGGTAGGCTTAATGTTTGGCTTTTTTTTTCCTCTTCTCTGACATGCTTTATTTCCACATATTGTGAAGTATAATTATGCCGTAAATGCATGCCGAGGTCTGCAGTACAGAGGGATTCATGGTGTCCAATTATTCGCACTTCTCGGGGAAGCTTTTAGGCGTGTGATGGCGTGGGGGTGCAATCGCACGCCTCAAATCAGAAGGACTGTAGACTGTCTTCATGTCATCAAAGTTATTATTCATTTATAACCGAATGTCTGTGTCAGTTGCATGGCCATTCAACAAGCCAACAATATAGACCCATCTGTGGTCCATTTTCGTTCCCTTCATCTCACTACAGGGTAGATCTTGTGGCTTGGAAATCAGCGTGACAACATAAAGATTGCCTTCAAATCGTGAATAATCCATTATGATTCACTTACTAGGTTTTCGGAATTAAATACTTCTCAGCAAGGGGAAATTTCAAAGAAGACCAAAACTAATTCTCTTGTCCGCCATAATCCCCCTCACCTCCCTAGATCCCACGTCCAGACAACCAGCCGGACACCTTGGGCCTGACGGTCCTGGACGAACCCTGCGCTAAGCAGTCGGACCCCACAGTCCTAGACCTGACACTGCGGGCCATCTCCAAGCAGACCACTACCAAGGCCATGCAGGTCCGCAGCATCGATGAAGCCAGCAAGAACCCCAAACTGGTGCAGAACTGGATCGAGAGCATCAGCAACCTGCACCGATCCAAGCCGCCGCCGACTGTCCACTACAACAAGTGAGTTTGAAACTGTGTTGCTGTCCGGTCCATATCAATTCCCCATAAGTCCAACCCGTTCATAACTTCCCACAAGTCCATCACAAGTCCATCACAAGTCCATCACAAGTCCATCACAGGTCCATCACAAGTCCATCACAAGTCCATCACAAGTCCATCACAAGTCAGTCACAAGTCTATCACAAGTCCATCACAAGTCCATCACTAGTCCATCACTAGTCCCTCACAAGTCAGTCACAAGTCCATCACAAGTCAGTCACAAGTCAGTCACAAGTCCATCACAAGTCCATCACAAGTCCTCACAAGTCCATTACAAGTCCATCACAAAGTCCCTCACAAGTCCATCACAAGTCATCCAATCCCAATTTAAGTCAAGAGCTATAAGAATGAAGTGTTGTCATTCACTATTATCCACTGTAACTTGTGACGAGACGTGTGACACGACATGTGATTTACTTGTGGCAACTCTTGCAGTGCACTTGTGATGGACTCGACTACAACACTGGTTTGAAACCACATATTGTTCAGGGTAACAAAAATGATCAACTCAGCTTTGGCCAGTAGACCTCATACGTAATGACATCACGCTTTGTTTACATACCTGCGCTTTCCCGCGTCCCACCTGGCTCTCATGGGAAAGCGCACATGTAAACAAAGCGTGACATATTGCGTCTTGAATGTCTATTTAATGGAGATTCCCAGCACTAAAATGTGCTAAGAACAGAAGTGCCGTGGTTAGCAAACATAAGGTACCAGCCAAAATGCCATGTGATGTATTGCTATTGACTGCATGGTTCCCGTCTGGTTTTTGATGAGTACGTTAATTTGTAGAGCGACATTTTCCGCCTGGCAAGTCAATGCAATTGGCCCAGGTATTTACCTTATTCTTATTATAATCCACTTACAAATCTCTTCAAGTTCAGGTTAATTTCGCACCAACTGCACAGCCTTCTGAGACCATTACAGTAGTAGAAAAGATACATGTATTCTGCACTCACCCTGTACATGTATACTGTACACAATTCCAAGTTCATGCTGGATATTAAAAAATTTTAAGTGATGCAACAAAAATTGCTTGCTTATCCACTATTATTGGGCACAGGTCTTGTTGTACACCCTAACCTTCCCAAATCCTCCAAAATCCTCTTTGCAAATGGAGGATTTTGTAGGATTTAGGCTATATGGCAAAAATGTGTGGCTGATATTGTAGGATGCACTTTGCAAAGGTCTTATTGTGGGCCTTGTATTGTTTATGCACAGCCGGCCGTGCGTAAATTTAGGCCTAGATTATACTGCACTGCTCCAGGATGTCACTGGCTCTGCCTCAACACATATTGACAGAGACTGCTGGAGGATTTTGCAGGATTGAGGCAGTGGTGACCCATATTCAAGAAATAACATGATTTTGGAGGATTGAGGCTGTATGCAATGTTTACATGGAGGCAGTTGTAGGATTTGGCAGGATTGAGGTTGCATCCCAGCATCCTACCAAAACGGTACGCCGCGAGTCTGTGGGCATTCCTTGTGGGGTACCTCCCATTGTTCCGGTACCCCACAAGGCAGTGGTTGTACACGCACACATACTTGTTCTGTAGTTGTGACACACACCTGACAAGCGATAGTTATTGTGAGGACCAAAGATGCTGTGGGGACAGTAGAAGTCAAAAAAACTTCCCCACAATGCAGTCATTGCTAAACACACACATGGAATCAGTTTTACTTCTATTTTGTTTTCCCAAACAGAACAATGCCGGACATCGAGTCCCTGATGCAGGAATGGCCGCCAGAGTTTGAAGAGCTCCTGAAGCGAGTGGGTCTCCCAACGGCCGACGTTGCCTGTGATTTGGACCAATACGTGGACATGGTCTGCGCCATCTTGGATATACCTGTCTACCAGAGCAGAGTCCAGGCTCTGCACGTCCTCTTCACACTCTACTCCGAGTTCAAAAATTCACAGGTAAAATCTGCGAAGATCTACAAAACGAGCCGACTTCAGTTTTTTCAATTCAGGTTTTTTTTAATTCATTTTTGTGCTTTATACAATGAATTTATTGCAGTTATGGATTTTTTCTCAAACATTTTTCAAAACTGTTTTATGCCTCCCACATAGAACACTGTAGGTTGGGAGCTAAAAGGTAGTTACAACACTCAACCAATTTTTGGCAAAGGCTCTTGGCTCAAATTTTATGAATGAAAAAATATATACATGTACATGAATATATTTTAAAACAACTGTCAGATTAATGTACAGTCGAATCTCGTTAGTACAAACTCTGTTAATACAAAATTCTGGTTATAACAAACATAAAGCCTTAGTCCCGACTGTGCATTATGTGCACAATGAATGGGACTGATGTTCCTCTTAATACAAAATTCTGATATAACAAACAATTTGGCTAGGTCCAAACGAGTTTGTATTAACGATACTCGACTGTAGTTTGTTTCAAGTTACTCAGATTTTTTTCTGTTTTGTGTGTAGTTATTTTGATAATTCAACCAAATTTGGTAAAAAAGGACTTTTGTCCAAACTTTTCAGTAGGGACTTTATAGTTGTTAGACGAAGAAATGTACTGAGACATTCCAGTGGTCGGTAAAACGAAAAGAACCAACCAAAATCCAGTCCCGCATTTGTCAGGCATGCAACTGGGGAATCACAAAAAAAAGAGGAAAATCAAATATTTCCCAGACTTTGTACAGTATTTTTCTATTTTCAATGGCACACATGGGAGGTAAAAAAAGAGGAAATCAGCTGATCAGCTGAAAAGTTGCATGCCTGATTTGTATTGCATTTTTGTGGTTTATTCCCTAAATTTATGGCATACAACTGACGTTTTTATTGGATTACCGTATTGCACTGGAATGAAGGATTTCCTCTAAAGCATCCACATAACAGCACTGTAGCTAGTAGAGAAAAAGAAGCCTGTCGAGTATAACAACTGGAGGAAAGGTTGCAACACAAAAACATTAGGAAATTACAGATTAAATATTGTAGGGGAAAGATCCACTTGCGAACCAGGATCCACAGATCCAGGATGCGAACCTGGGTCACAGAGATGGACAGGGAGAAAATACCACTGGGCCAAATGGAGTCATTTCATTGTTTTCTTTCAATTTTGTTGGGGGGGGGGGGTCAACCAACTGAGTGTCCTCTTAAGAATAAATTTTGTATGGGAAAGATCCACTTGTCGGGAGGGGATGTGAACCTGGGTCTCAGAGATGGACAAGGGGAAAATACCACTGGGCCAAATTGAGTCATTTCATTGTTTTCTTTCAAGTTTGTTGGGGGGGGGGTCAACCAACTGAGTGTCCTCTTAAAAATAAATATTGTATGGGAAAGATCCACTTGTCGGGAGGGGATGTGAACCTGGGTCTCAGAGATGGACAAGGGGAAAACACCACTGGGCCAAATTGAGTCATTTCATTGTTTTCTTTCAAGTTTGTTGGGGGGGGGTCAACCAACTGAGTGTCCTCTTAAAAATAAATATTGTAGGGGAAAGATCCACTTGTTGGGAAGGGATGTGAACCTGGGTCACAGAGATGGACAGGGAGAAAATACCACTGGGCCAAATGGAGTCATTTCATTGTTTTCTTTCAAGTTTGTAAGGGGGGGGGGGTTTCAACCAACTGAGTGTCCTCTTTGCCCCAGTCTGACAGACTCACTGACTGACTGTCAAGTGGAAGCGAGTCGGGGAGACAGACAGTGAGAAGGGGGCAAAGCGGACACTAGGTTGGATCTCAGTTGGACCAATGTGCCAGGCTTAGCCCCTTCATTGATGTCGCAAAGTAATCCTACATCATAGCACGGTTTTGAGTCAACTCGGTCCGAGTCAAAAGTTGCCGTTTTAGCGACAAGTTGTACTTGACTCGGTTTAAATATAAAAGTGTTCAGACATCGTTTTAGCAAGAAAGTTACACCGAAACAAGTTCAACCGGTGTTTTAAGGCAATTTAAAACGGTGTCTGAACGACCCCAGTAAGTCAACTCGGTCCCAAGTCAACTCGGTCCCAGGCCAACTCGGTCCCAGGTCAACTCCGACCCAGGTTAACTCGGTCATAAGTCAACTCGGTCCAAGTCAATTCGGTCCCAGGTCAACTCCATCCCAGGTTAACTCGGTCATAAGTCAACTCGGTCCCAGGCCAACTCGGTCCCAGGTCAACTCCGTCCCAGGTTAACTCGGTCATAAGTCAACTCGGTCCAAGTCAATTCGGTCCCAGGTCAACTCCGTCCCAGGTTAACTCGGTCATACATGTAAGTCAACTCGGTCCCAGGCCAACTCGGTCCCAGGCCAACTCCCTCCCAGGTTAACTCGGTCATAAGTCAACTCGGTCCAAGTCAATTGGGTCCCATGTCAACTGTGAAATCTGAGGGGAAAAAAATGCTCTAGCAAGGCACCAGGGCCAAAAACAAATGGTGCCATGCTAGGGGCTGTGCCACGCTAGGGTACATCAAGAGACCTGAAAATCCTGTTTGCGTACATTGATTTTTTTCCCCCAGTGACGGAGTTGACTTGGGACGGAGTTGACTTGGGACGGAGTTGACTTGGGACGGAGTTGACTTGGGACGGAGTTGACTTGGGACGGAGTTGACTTGGGACGGAGTTGACTTGGGACGGAGTTGACTTGGGACGGAGTTGACTTGGGACGGAGTTGACTTGGGACGGAGTTGACTTGGGACGGAGTTGACTTGGGACGGAGTTGACTTGGGACGGAGTTGACTTGGGACGGAGTTGACTTGGGACCGAGTTGACTTGGGACCGAGTTGACTTGGGACCGAGTTGACTTGGGACCGAGTTGACTTGGGACCGAGTTGACTTGGGACCGAGTTGACTTGGGACCGAGTTGACTTGGGACCGAGTTGACTTGGGACCGAGTTGACTTGGGACCGAGTTGACTTGGGACCGAGTTGACTTGGGACCGAGTTGACTTGGGACCGAGTTGACTTGGGACCGAGTTGACTTGGGACCGAGTTGACTTGGGACCGAGTTGACTTGGGACTTGGGACCGAGTTGACTTGGGACCGAGTTGACTTGGGACCGAGTTGACTTGGGACCGAGTTGACTTGGGACCGAGTTGACTTGGGACCGAGTTGACTTGGGACCGAGTTGACTTGGGACCGAGTTGACTTGGGACCGAGTTGACTTGGGACCGAGTTGACTTGGGACCGAGTTGACTTGGGACCGAGTTGACTTGGGACCGAGTTGACTTGGGACCGAGTTGACTTGGGACCGAGTTGACTTGGGACCGAGTTGACTTGGGACCGAGTTGACTTGGGACCGAGTTGACTTGGGACCGAGTTGACTTGGGACCGAGTTGACTTGGGACCGAGTTGACTTGGGACCGAGTTGACTTGGGACCGAGTTGACTTGGGACCGAGTTGACTTGGGACCGAGTTGACTTGGGACCGAGTTGACTTGGGACCGAGTTGACTTGGGACCGAGTTGACTTGGGACCGAGTTGACTTGGGACCGAGTTGACTTGGGACCGAGTTGACCTGGGACCGAGTTGACCTGGGACCGAGTTGACCTGGGACCGAGTTGACCTGGGACCGAGTTGACCTGGGACCGAGTTGACCTGGGACCGAGTTGACCTAGGACCGAGTTGACCTAGGACCGAGTTGACTTGGACCAATGTGGCCTGCACCCCCATATCACTGCCTGGCTCACAAGTGTGAGTCTGGCAGTACTATCACAAAGGATTACTCTGGGACATCAAAGAAGTGACCGAGTCTGGCTCATTGTGTAGGCCAGATGCATGAGAAGACTTTAGGTGAATAGCTCTTCTGAATCAATTGAAGTTTTCTTTCTTTTGTTTCAATCCTTTTTTAGCATTTCAAGAACCTAGCTGAAGAGAACAAGCTGGACAACAAGTTGAAGAACCGGGGCGGGGCGGATGACGATGGGGACGACTACGGTGGCGCTTCCGGGGCGGGAGGCGAGGACACCGATAGATTAGTTTTCTGAAATCCTTTGGCTTTTTCGTAAATTTTCCGTTTTTTTGACACACCTACAGTTGTAGTCATGTAAACCACTGACTGATCATTTTGCTTTTGTGAACAAGTTGTGGGGACCCAAATTCACGGTGCTGCTAAGCAGTTATTAGTCTTTCTTGATTAAAATTAATTGCTAAACATTTGGACAAGAACCTAATGGTAATTTTTTATGCAAAAGCTGCTCGGAGAGTGTCAACATCTTTCACTAAAAAAGAATGCACTGCTTTTAAAAAAAAACTTGGCATATTTGCGCTGGGTGGACAACATCCGTGAATGGTCAGGGTGTGACACCAACTAACTGAAAGCAGCAACACTGGAAAGACGGGCTGTGGTGGGAGCGGAGCCAGTGATCCCAACTGTGTATAATTTGAGGAAGAGGCCACGGGCAAATGCCAATGTCTAACGAATGAATGAATGAATATTTGTCTTTGTTTTGACACTGGGTATTTAAACTGGGGGAACCTTCCATTGTGCAACCATTATTTCACTCCAGGCTCATTCTCATTATTTCACTCCCTGTGCTTAGCTACTCTGCAGAATTGTTCCCCATGCTTGTACAGTTTTTATATCACTTTCACTATCCTGTTGATTAGGATGTTAACAAGACCAATTTTGTTGCCAAAAACTTTACTTGAGCTTTAAAAGGGGGAGATAACTTCTTGCTCAGCAAGGGTGTTTGATATGCGAGCAGACTCGGCGATTAATTATGCACAAAATGACTGCGTCTTTGACCTCGAGATTCTGACCATTCAGCGAGCACCATCTACATGTATATCCCAGCATGCAACTGGGAAGTTAAAGGGGGGGGGGGGTAAAAACAAAACAAAAGATGAAATTCAAATCTTTCCACGACTTTCTTCAGCGTTTTTCTATTTTGAATGGCATTCATGGTATTAAGTACAAAAAGAGGAAATCAGCCGATCCGAGGAAAAGTTTCATGCCTGTGTATCGGGTCTTCGGTCACCTGTTGTCATAGATATCTAATAAAACCTCGACACGACATCTATTATTACTACATGTATCGAATTGTGTTACCAAAAATAGGCAGCATGTAACGATGTTATGCTATGCACGAATGTCCTGTGGTTTTGAAAGATCATCATATAATACATGTATTTTAAACAACGCGCATAATCCATGCGAAGGTCCTCTTGTGCGTTCACGTTACGCCAACGATTAGCATTCGAGTATTCTATAGGCGTAGCATTTTGCTCACACTAGTAACAGTGTCAGGCGTGTATTATTCATCAGTTCAGTGCGTGACCTCGGGTAGCTGCAATGGGCTGAATGCGAACGATTTCGGGCGCAATTCACAACATGACTCCAAGATTGAAACCAAGATCCTAGAATATAGTTTTCTCTGAATATACAGCATTCACAGAGGTAAAACTTCACATCAGTTGTTAAGTACCCATCTATAGGTTTTTAGCACTTTTGTTGCTTCTAACGAGAGGCATCATTTTTTTGTCATGTTGCTCACATTAAACAGTTTATGCAACCACTTTTACACCAGTCACATTTCCAGAGATACACATGTGCATTGCAGAAGAGAACAGTTTGTTGAAAGTTGACATCACATAACCACACCATCCAATTTGTAAACAAATGTAACATGGTCAATACAGACTGTATTTCAACTGTGGCCCTTAAATGTATCAACAACTTTGATTTCTACAAAAATGGTAGGCGTTTATCCCAAATGTTTTTCCCAACTTGTTTGTCCTGAAAAACAAGAAAAGTTATTCAATTTGCAAAACATTTGTCTTTTCGTTTGTGATTTATTCATCATTCTGTGTACAATAATAATGTGTACAAAGTTTATTATCCGAGTACAAATAAAAATCTGTGTGTATAAAAGTGAACACTTTCGGTTCATTTATTACCGCCTCCAAGGAGGATATGTTTTCATCTGATTCGGTTAGGTTTGTTGGTTGGTTGATTTGTCTGTTAACAAAATAACTCAAAAAGTTATGGATGGATTTGTACGATTTTTTTTTTTTTTTTTTTTTTTTGTGGTGGTCCTTAGTACAAGTACAAATCGATTAGATCTTAGAAGTGATCCGGATCTGGGTGATCCAGGATTTTGTTGAAGGATTCTCCACCATTTAGGATTCGTAGCCGAGCGGCTAGAGCATGGAACTACGGAGTGAAGGTTGGCTGTTTGAATCCCATTCGAACCAAAAACTGGAAAAACTCTCTCTGACGACCCAACGGTAAAATGTGTACCCGATTCGTTCAGGGAAGGTAAGACGGCGAGAGGAGAGGACTGGGCCCCGCCACTTATATACCGCGCCCAAGACACAGTGGACCTCTAACATCCCACTGCCCCTACAGCCAGTAATGGCTATGGGACCTTTACCTTTTTTACCACCATTTATTTCTTTTGGGTGTACTGACAATTGGGAATTGTTTAGCCCTAGCGGAGGTTTGCGCTCTCCGAGTGCTTTCTAGCTGCAGTTAAAATCGTCTTGATTTACATTAAAAAGTTATTGCAAAATGCTTCGTGTTCTGGCATAATCCAGTGAATAACTACAGCGTTGTCAGTTTTCTGATAATGCCAAGTTTATCAGACAAGTCAAAAGTTTCTGTAAATACGAGCAATATGGTTAAAACCAAAGTTCTTGGTATGTTCCCCCCGTTTCATAGAACCTAAAGTCTCTGGTCTTGCTGTACATTATTCATGCATTATTCCTTTTTTGGAGAAAAATCACGTGTAAAAATTGACGGAATTCTGTGTGATAGTCGTCAAGTCTGTAACAAACCCATGTGGCCCATCAGGCCGGGTTTATCTCCTGTTTCACTAGCATGAAACCACCAAAAATATTTCTACTTCCCCAAGATAGGATGCCAGTCCATCGCAGGTTACTCGCCAGCTAATGCTGGTATCCATTTGTACTCCTGGGTGGAGAGAGGCAAAGGGGGTGAAGTGGCCAAAGTCAGGCATGTACGACTACTGCAATTAGTAGACTAGTCGCCGATGCTAAAAAGCATTGGTAGTCGCGACTCAATTTCTTAAGTCGACTACATGTAGTCGTTATGCTGTGACTAATAAACAAATAATGAATGGAACATTCCATCTTTCAACGAATGAAAATATTCTCTCCATTGCACGAATGCAAAACATTCATTATGTGTTTTATATAACAGCGAAGTACAGTCGACTCTTGTTAATACAAACGCGTTCAGACCGGGCCAAATTGTTTGTTATAAAATAATTTTGTATTAAGAGGAACATCACTCCCATTCATTGTGCACATAAATGCACAGTCAGGACCAAGTCTTTGTGTTTGCTATGACCAGAATTTGTATTAACAGTGTTTGTACTAACGAGAGTCGACTGTAGATCTTTGTCATTCGATTTGAGGATAAAAACAATAAGAACAAACATTTACAAAATTGTGTATACATGCACTTCTTCTTTTTTTTCAGTTTGTCCAAGGCTAACAATATACAAAGGTTTCAAAGTCAAACCATTAGCAATATGAACGTTAATATTGTAATTTCTTAAAACAATGTAAACAGCAAATTTAGTTCATAACTGCACCCGCTTCAAAGGCAAGTTTTGTACTACATAAAAAGCATGAAGTGCTCATATGGGCTACGTGCGCTAATAAGGAGGGCGCGTTTTTACAACTTTTGAGAGCCCTATAGACGAGACACACAGGTGTTCGTGCTGTGCTGTATTGGTTCATGCCCGAAGTACACACGACTTTCTGAATGTGCCAAAACTTCACGTGAGCGTCAGTCATTGTCGGTGCGCGAATACGTTCAAATTTAACTTGGGATGGTCTCCCAGACTAATTCCCACCCCCAATAACTTTGGATCATTCGAAATATGTAGCGGATGGACCGGAAACCGGTCTAGGTCTCGTCAACTCTCCTTTTCTGGCCGTGAACGAGTTCCTGTGCACGGAGCCCATAGCACTGCTAGTGCTGCGCGGCCTTACACGATAGGGTGTGCGCGTGCAATAAATCAAAGGAGATAGAACAAAAACTCACGGTTGATGGGACCAAAAATGCATTTCTTAAAACAGTAATGATGTAGGCCATACAATGGTTTGATTAATGAACGTCGCGTGACCTACAATCATCCGATCAAATGACAACGATTAACTTGGGTGTATGTAATTGCGACTATTGAAATAAGTCATGATTATATTGCTCCCATTCATGCCGCGGCTCAAAATGTACTATCCGCCTATGGGGAATGGGAAATACTATTCAACAGTTAGGATCATGACGCGGTATTTGTGTGCAAATGCATGCTGGTGTGCGCGTTCAGCGTTGCGCGTATTTTTCCAAAGAGCAAGCACTTCAGCGTTGGGTTCAAACATTTTCGTAAAAGGGTGGTTTGGAAGAGAGAAATACATTTTTCTCCAGTTCTGTATTGAAAAAAAGTTCAAATATATCAAATGACAAGGATCTATATATATAACAAATATTGAGTGGCTTTAAATTGTGAAATGGGAGGAATATTATCACTCCGTAAAATCTGGACTTTTCCAGTTCACTCGGCTTCGCCTCGTGAAATGGAAAAGTCCAGATTTTACTTTGCGATAATATTCCTCCCATTCCACGCTGAGCCGCTCAATATTTGTATACAAATTGAAATTCACTAGTCACGCCACGCCTGAAAATCTGTAATCCAAGTAATTCAAAATGGCCCAATAAAGATGTTTATGGTGTTAATAGTAACAATGACAGAACATAAATGCCGATTTCAGAGACAAAAGTAAATGAATATGTAGACATATGATTCGGTCATTACATTGAAAGCACACAAAAGGCAAGGCTGAAAGGGGGGGAAAAGGAAAACAAAGTGCGAAGCCATATTGCTGTTAATTTGATGGGGGGGGGGGGAGAGTAGGGCAAATGCTCCCATGCTCATGCTCGGAAAAATGATAAATTGAGAATATAGTGAAAAAGTTACAGAATTTTGGGGAAAATTCTTCTCCCTCCCCCCCCCCCGAAAAAATCCTGGTGACGCCCATGTCCATGGTCCTGTTCCATTTTTTAACAGAACATTTACAAGTATGGGGATTGCTTCTGAATTTCACTGGAAAAGTATGCATGCATGTGAAATTAAAGACTATGTTTGTTAAAATGCCATAATAGTCCTGAATCAACCCATGTTTATTCAGACCAAACAAAACAAATCCTGCGTTTACAGAAACCCAACCCCGATCGCCCTTGATTTTTTTTGGGCCAATTTGCCGACCTCAAACTTTTTATTGTTATTTGGCTAATTAAAAATCTACTTGCAACAAACATAACCATTTTCCACGCTTGCAGTGAGTTTTAGCCGGCATTAAACATATTAAGCACCTGCTACGCTTTTGGAAATGAACGCAACGCTACTGCAATGATTGATGAATTAAATTTGAACATTGCGCACTGGCCATACTCGCCCCATAAATGTGGCCTACTTACTGGACTGTCTCCGTAAACATAGGCCACACATCCACATGTACAAAAAACGTGTCGACTTTGCCAAATTTTGATTTTCACATTTAGGCTTACTTTTTCCTTTTTTTTTGCTTTAGAAGCATTCTCACCCTCTATATAGGCTAACCAGAAAGTGCTGCCTATTTCAGATGTTTAAGTTTTGTGAAATTTCATGTTGAAATTTTGATACGCAAACGTGTGCAAATGTATCCGGAAATTTCACGAAAAATGGACATCTGAAAAAGGCAGCACTTCCTGATTAGCCTATATAGAGGGTGAGAATGCTTCTAAAGCAAAAAAAAACGTAAAAAGTAAGCCTAAATGTGAAAATCAAAATTTGGCAAAGTCGACACGTTTTTTGTACATGTGGATGTGTGGCCTATGTTTACGGAGGCAGTCCAGTAAATAGGCCACATTTATGGGGCTATGGCCATACAAGATACAAGTTTTTGAAATGAATGGGGATCCTTGGCCAGTATAGCCTTTAGTCAAGTCCCACGCGCTTATACCCGAACCATGCGGACATGTAACACATCCTTGATGCTGGCACGTAAAAGACTAGCACGAGCGGCGAAGCCGCGAGGGCCTTTACCATCTCGTGGAGAACGCTTATGTTTTTCTTTACATTTGTCTACCGATTTGGTAGACATGCATAATGCATTACCCATTGTGAATTGACCAATGAAAATGCAAAATTACTAACGTAAATCAACCGTCGTCTGGCGCCAGACAGCACGCGCGCCCGGTGGCGCGCGTGCTGTTGCTGGTAACCGCAAACCACCGTTAGATGATTGGTTTATACTGCTTGATGTATATTACGTGAATAAATGAATAAGTGATTAGTTCCACGAGATAGTAAAGGCCCTCGCGGCTCTGCCGCTCGTGCTAGTCTTTTTACGTGTCAGCATCCAGAGTGCGTCAGGTGTCCGGGTAGGCGCGTGGGACTTGACTAAAGGCTATGGCCGGTAGGCCTAATGGCCCGTACTGCGTGATGTCATTCATTCGAAAGTATGACGTACGTATGCCTTCACTATGAAAAGCACAAGTGTGCTGTGTCACACACAGTCTGAGCTTTGGACCGCACCATTTGCAATCTAGGGGTGACATTACAATCTGCTTTTGCACGTGTACATTACATTCCAAAATATGTAATAATAATGTCAAATTGTCCTGAAACAAAATGGAACCTTTTGATCAGGACAACCTGACGTGCCTGTTTTTGTTATGTTTTTTTCAGCCCCAAATGCTCATTTGCCTATTTCAGGTATGGCCAACACTAGTCCGAGTAACTTGGACCCAACTTATCGCCTTTTTTAACATTTGGACATGGTCTGGCGATAGTAAGGTCCAAGCTAATACTGCGACCTGGACAACACAGTTCCAAAAACCAACATTTTCCAACAAAAACATCAGATTTCACCTTCAAAACGGCCTCCAAATTACTAGATATGCCACCTGAGGTACAAGTAGACATCTATAATTAAGATGGTTGTACTGAAGTTTACTTACGATCCGGAAAAAAGTGAAATTTTCCGTTCATTTCGGAGAGCTCCCCTCGCGATCTTGAACACGTTAAATTTCCGATCGTGTTTAATGTTTGAACGACGCAATTTCTTCTACATGCCCAGCGTACATTCGATGGTTCCCGTATTCCGTGTGCGATTCCGTTACCGAGCGCGCGCAATGCATCGATTATGATAATGAGTAGACTGGATCACGTTTGTAAAAACATGTGCATTTCAAACGATAATAGGGAGTCGGGAACTAGCGCAGCTTTTATGGCGGGTACCAGTTCAAGCTGGTTCCCGATTCCCTTTTACAGTATGAAATGCACATGTATTGTGTTTACAAACGTGATCATTATCATAATCGATGCATCGCGCGCACTCGGTAACGGAATCGCACACGGAATACGGAAACCATCGAATGTACGCTGGGCATGTACAAGAAATCGCGTCGTTCAAACATTAAACACGATTGGAAATTTAACGTGTTCAAGATCGCGAGGGGAGCTCTCCGAAATGAACGGAAAATTTCACTTTTTTCCGGATCGTAAGTAAACTTCAGTACAACCATTTTAATTATAGATGTCTGCTTGTACCTCAGGTGGCATATCTAGTAATTTGGAGGCCGTTTTGAAGGTGAAATCTGATGGTTTTTTGTTGGAAAACGTTGGTTTTTGGAACTATGTTGTCCAGGTCGCGGTATTAGCTTGGACCTTACTATCGCCAGACCATGTCCAAATGTTAAAAAAGGCGATAAGTTGGGTCCAAGTTACTCGGACTAGGCCAACACAATAGCTAGGCGCTGCTTTATTTTGGTAAGGCCTTTCACAAGGTAAGGCCTTTCACAACCCTGCGAAAAACCAATGTTACAAAATTTTAAAGAGACGATCGGACAGGGCTGCTCGTGGATTTTGTCCGAGTATTTTGATATTCATATGCGAGTATTCTCAAAAAGTACTCGAGTTGTAACAAAGTACGAGTACCGAGTAAGAATACAACACTGCTGCTTTTTATAACTCATTCATAGCGATAGTTACAGCAATCCAATTCGGGCGATTCACAATGCAGTGCGCCACCAAGAGTTTGCCATGGAGAGCTCATTTTTCCCAGTGCATTGTGAGAGATGGTCGACAAATTTGCAGCGCGGGAGTAAAACTCCATATTGATAAAAAGAAAAGGGCAAACATTATATTCAAATCATACTTTTACAAACTTTCTGGCCGGAAAAACTAACAATTTCAAATGTCCCGCGGCGGGACATTTGAAATTGTTAGTTTTTCCGGCCAGAAAGTTTGTAAAAGTATGATTCGAATGTAATGTTTGCCCTTTTCTTTTTATCAATATGGAGTTTTTTGTAAGGCGGCAGAACGGTACGCCCCAATCTGTAACAAATTAGTTCAAGTTTTTTACTGACACTTGTTCAAATGGGCCATGTTTTGTCGACCATAAACTTGAAAAATGAACTCTCCATGGCAAACTCTTGGTGGCGCACTGCATTGTGAATCGCCCGAATAGTTGGAGCGTGCCTTCTAGTTCTAGAACTTGTCCGTGTGGAAAGGCCTAAAGAGCCATGCCTAACAGAAAACACTGAATAATCCTCCTCCAATGTTCATACGTGTTACTTGACAGTTTACTCAGATCTAGCCCCATAAATGTGGCCTATTTACTGGACTGCCTCCGTAAACATAGGCCACACATCCACATGTACAAAAATCGTGTCGACTTTGCCAAATTTTGATTTTCACATTTAGGCTTACTTTGTAGGTTTTTTTTGCTTTAGAAGCATTCTCACCCTCTATATAGGCTAATCAGAAAGTGCTGCCTTTTTCAGATGTATATTTTTCGTGAAATTTCCAGATTCATTTTTACACGTTTGCGTATCAAAATTTCAAAATGAAATTTCACAAAAATTAGACATCTGAAAAAGGCAGCACTTTCTGACTAGCCTATAAAGAGGGTGAGTATGCTTCTAAAGCAAAAAAATCCTACAAAGTAAGCCTAAATGTGAAAGACAAAATTTGGCAAAGTCGACACGATTTTTGTACATGTGGATGTGTGGCCTATGTTTACGGAGGCAGTCCAGTAAATAGGCCACATTTATGGGGCTAACTCAGTTCCATCTTCTGATATTGACTTGAAAGTCTGTGAGCTCTGCTCTTCCTTTCCAAAGTACAATGTCCTTTGCCCTGTTTGCCAACCTGTGCTGCACGTAAATTGTTGAGGAACTCTTTCCAGCTATGGCAGCCGCATTCAATGATCATGGTGACCAAAGCCCTTGGATGAAAGGTGCCCGACTTTCTGGTCTGAACAAGAGCTTTTGTGTAGTCATTTTTGCAGGGCTTGCTCACGATGTTGTAGATTGGCATGGGAAAAGAATTGCATGTGGAGAGCATGTAGCTGCAAAGCTGCCAGCACAGTCTCCTGTTGCCATCTCCAAACGGATGCAAGTGAAGCATCTCATTCTCCAACACAACCTGTTTGCCAGCCTGTGTTTCCCCTTTAATTTTGTAATGGAATTCTTTCCAGCCATGCCAGCTACATTCAATGATCATGGTGGCCAAGGCCTTTGGATGACGGGTGTCTGACTTCCTGGCCTGAACAAGAGCTTTCTGGTAGTCCATTTTGCAGGACGTGCTCCAGATGTTGTAGATCGGGGTAGGAAAAGGAGTGCATGTGGAGAGCACGTAGCTGCAAAGCAGCCGGCACAGTCTCCCGTTGCCGTCTCCAAACGGATGCAAGTCAAGTATCTCAAACACCAGCCAAGAACAAGCTTTGTATAAACAGAGAAGCTTCACTTCATCTTCTTGTTCATCAATCTGAGTTTCTTGAGAATGTGTTTCAATGGGAGTGTCATTCCTCGCTTCTTCAAGAAGAGAGTTAAATCTGTCTAAAATATTATTGACGGCATTATGCATGTCAGCTGGATTCGGATACTCATAAAACTCTCCTTCAAAGGTTGTGAAACGGCGTTTATCACTGTAATGCCCCGCCTTAGTGCGGCCTGATTTTGTGGTCGCACTTTTGAGTAGGATTTTGTTAACTTCGCGAAGCATGGATTCCGCAATCATGCCATGGCATTTCAAATCCGTTTCTCCATCTTTGATGTCCAGCAAATATTCGTAGGCCTCTTTCAAGTCCACAGTTTCTTTCTGTTGCGGGGACAGCGTTGCATAATCCACTTTATTTCCAAAGGCAAGACATTCCCGTGTTTCCTCGAAAGTCCCGCAGCCGTGATCTTCCTCTCGATTGCAGTGAAAGAGAAACCTCTCCAGGAATTGTCTCTGAACGGCGCTGGCATCGCATTTTTCCTTCACGGAATTCCATCCTTTTTGATATCCTACGATATCTTTGACCATGTCACCAACTGGAGGCACCGTTGGTTCTTCTCTTCGCCACAGAGGATTCTCCTCGGGCTCAAAATTTAGTAAATCTCCCACAGTTGAGCGGTGCCTTCTCCGTTTTCTCCCTACCCCTGACGCCATTTTTTTAAGAACGGGCGCGCGCGCTGTCAGCATATTGGCTGTTGAACTGTTGACGCGCCACCCCCTGTTTTCGAACTTCAGTAATACCTTTCGTTATTGGTTGAACCATGGAAACCAGATGGCGCAGCGTGTTTTTGACCCAATGAACAGAGCTGAAAGAACGAGTGTGTGTGGGCGATATTATTGTACTGACATTATGTACATGATAGTCCCCATTGTACTTGCACGTGAACGATAGGTCCCCATTGGATAATGCACAAAACGACCACGTAGGGTTGTGCAAGACGTGATGACGTGTTCGTGTATTATTTTGTCATTGATCTCGGAACGTATATTGTTGTATCAATGTGTACGTGTGTTGTGTATAGTCGGACTCCCTATTATCGCGGCATCCCTATTATCGCGGCATGGGAAATTTCTCTTTTTACAGTGTCAAAACTCCTTCAAGTGGCGATTTTTATCCAGTTCACCAGTCATCAAGGATTTTCTACCGAGTTGTATAAAAAGGACGATTAAAGAATGTTGTGTCTTTCGGGACTTTTAACGATTTTAATAAATATTAACGTTTTCCAAAACTTGCAAAATTTTCCCTCACCGTGTCTGCTAAAAGGTACCGTTTATATTTTAACATAAATCTTTAATTGCGCTCTGTCCATGCAAGTTCAATTGTCTGGGTCCCATTCTTCAGCTGCAAATGTAAAATGAGGTCGAACGACGATATTTGCAGCGCGAAATTGTAACAACTTTTACGGGATCAAAATAAGCACCGCGCGTTAGCGAAAATAAAACGGCACACCGTGTAAAGTGAATGACGCCCTCAATCGCCGATCAGTAGACTTGCCTCAGGGATTTGTGTTCTCCTTTCGGGGGAAGGGCAGGGTCTTAAGAAATCATCCTGTAAACATTTTTTTCTTTAATCAACTTGAACGTTACAGGGAAAATATCAGACTTTATTCAGGGGGTGTTTTGGTCAAACATAAACTATGAACAAAAAAGTTGGGATCATTATAAAAACCACTTCCCGCATACCGCGATAATAGGGAGTCCACCTCCGTTCGCACACGCTGCGCATGTCTATTTTCACAGGCATCGTACACGGAATAAACCTCACCACCCGTCAGATTTTTTTATATTAATTTAAAAAGGAAGAGTTATACTACACATAAGACAGGACAATTCTGGAAGGTTAGTGGGCAATCTCTATTCCGAACGAGAAACGTGATAAGTACCGCGATAATACGGCGTTCCATCCTACATACCATATAGCTTTTTATACAAAACCTGAATAAATCCCCGTCATCTGATTGGTGAATTGTAGATCACGTGACATATTATTATTCGGTATAATGTACGGTGCGACCATGCGTTATACCCATGCGTTATACCGTTTCACTTTGCGCTTGTTCCATGACGCGGTATTTATGCATGCTGGTGTGCGCGTTCAGCGTAGCGCGTATTGTTCCAAAAAGCCAGCGCTACAGCGTTGGGTTCAAACATTTTCGTGAAGGGGTAGTTCAACATCTTTGAAATCAAAATAAATTGTAGTTTATAATTTACCAATCAAATGACGAGAATTTATTCATGTGTTATATAAAACAAATAACGAATGATTTACGTTCGTGCGATGGAAAGAATAATTTCATTCGGTGACAGATTGAATGTTCTATTCCACTCGGCTTCGCCTCGTGGAATAGAACATTCAATCTGTCACCTCATGAAATTATTCTTACTTATTCTTGGGGGTCTCTTTGAATACTGCCAGACCGTCGTCCCTGTATAGTCCCACTCTATTTCCGTACTTTGGTTTCAGGATCGACAGCATATAATATGCTACTACCAGCTCGCATGACTCCGCGCCGTCGAAACTGCCCATCGTGACATCGAATTTGCTGTCTGCATTACGCTTTTTCCACGGTACCTGGTCGTTGAATACGTCGACGTGATGCAATGTGCACGGATAAACCGAAGTAGTTATGTCAGAAATTTATTTAGATAAAATCACGTAAAACATGTACTTGTCTTAAATTGTTTCATCTCAATTATTATTTGTAACGTGCAATTTTTTTTTTTTTTTTAATGTGGCTGTGTGTAATAGGCTCACTGTATTACATCACTGTGAATGTGATTGGACTTATACAGTGCTAAATGTAAATGCAAAATATTCGGAGACAAGAATTGGTCTGCACTTTAAGTGGGAGAGAACAGCCCACACGTTAAAGGTAATGTGATGTACAACATTTGCAAATATCGAAAAACAAAACTACCAAATTATTATGAAAAACCTTGCTCGAGTGTTAGTGAATAATAGTCTCAAGCATCCTGTGAAATCATGGCACCTGGTGTGCTGTCATTTTCAAGAAAGTCTGCCGACCATCGTTGGAAAAAACGATTTTTTTTCTCAAATACTTCACCCAATTTACCAAATTTATTTAATCAGTTAATTTGTTTGCAATCGTTTGCAATCGGTTTCAATTTGTTTGTAATCGTTTTCACATCCGTGAATGGGTGCAAGCCAGCTAGTCCAGCTCCCTGACCTGACAATTTCCCGACGAATCATCTGTTTCGTCTGAAGTAAAGTCAGGGAACCAGACTAAAAGAACAGCATTTTGTTCTTTTTTTTATCAGCATCTAGAACACAAAACTTTAAACAGGTCAGGGTAACAATAATTATTTAGTAACCTGTGCGGTTTTCTAGTGTAAATTTGTTTTTGTCGTGTATTCGGGGGGTTTTTTTTTGGGGGGGGTAGTTTTTTCTGGTACATCTTAATATTTTAATGTTAATAATGGTATATTTATGGGATTACTATTTTTCCAGTTACTTTAAATCATGTTCAATTCAGCCCTTAGCTGCGAGTCATGATTGATTCAAATAACCATTTAATGAAATGATTGAATGAATGAATGAACGAACCCTCAAATCAATCCATTTCCGAAAATTACAGCAAAAGCAAATGTTGTATATTATTATCTTTAAAATGTATTAATGGATTTCAATTTTCAAAGCCACAGTTCTTATTTCGTCACAAGATTCAAAATTTAGTAAAACTAAAACCGAATTACTGCAATTTGTACAACTGTAAACTTTTTATCTAAAAGGAATAATACGTGAAGTGTGTGTATAAAGACCCAATACCAAGAATTCCTAATTATTGGCTGTGTCCAGAGAAACTTTCAACTTTGTTAAGCCTGGCATTACCAGAGAACTGACAATGATGACGTAACTTGCTGAATCTGATTCCAGAAGACATTTGAAACATTTTGAAATGAAAAGTTTAATGTAAACTAATTTTAAAGCTAATTTAACGAACAAACCACAAGTGTCTTTTTTTATATATATACGCAGAGATTTTTTTGTATACTGTATACGCAGAGATTTTTATTTGTACTGAGATAACAAAAAAGTATTGCACATATTATTATTGTACACAGAATGATAAATAAATCGCAAACGAAAAGACAAATGTTTTGCGCAGTGAATATAGCTTATCTTGTTTTTCAGGACAAATACGTTGGCAAAAACATTTCGGATGAACATCTGTACCAATTTTGTAGAAATTGAAAACAAATGCACGCAAAGTTGTTGATACATGACCATGTTTGAAATACAGCCTGTACACATGTAGTTCTAAATGTATACACATGTACATGTATACAACGCTGTTTTCATGACTTTTTGTGCCACGTATCCTACATGTATAGCTTTGCCCCCCCCCCCCCCCCCCCCCCCCCCCCAAAATGAGGCAGATGAAAAATAATTTGGAACCTACGTATTCTGGGACCTAAATATCAGGCAAACCCATGCCAGTTTTCTGAATGTAGTCGGAATTTTGGCTTTTCATGTTTTGAGGAAGGGGGCACACCTCCGGCATTCCATATAACATCCCTTCGCAGGCCGATTTATTTTGTATGATTATTATTTATGTGCACTCGGCGATCAAACAAGTTTTCTACATGGACCCAACGCATTCACAATGCGAATAGCGACAAACAGTACATGTAGTTGAACTTTGCTCACATGTATCACTACCATTATGATGATCAATGATATCCGTGTAAAAACTCTGGATAGCCCATTGTCTGTTAGAAGTGAACTCACCGTCCGCCATTTTATTTGTAAAGAAAGATACTTATGAAATTGACATGTACACTCTGTTACTCAACGTATTACTTATTTGGTATTACAAAATATTGTATCCTTCTTATCACCCCCCCCCCCCTCCGGGATTGACTCCCATGTACAGTATGTACAGTGAACATGTACATGTATGTCCATAATGGAAAGCATTTGTTGACATCGGTCTCCCGCTCTGTACTGAGTTGTGAGTAAGACGCATGTGCGAGGGTCTAGTTACGCCCATTTATGATAATTGTCCCTAATGATTTCAATTTCAATTTATTGGTCCTTCCAAGGAAATTTGTTTCGTCACATGCAATAAAAAATTGCCCCCCCCCAAAAAAAAAACCCATGTCACCCCCCCCCCCAGCCCCCCCCCCCCCCCCCCCGTTGATATTGATAACTGTTGAAAATTGTAATGATAACAATAACGTACATGTCCGCCAGAGGCGTGAAAGGGGGCATTTGTACACTATTAGGTAATGTAGTATGCATGATTGTATGATTTGATCAGCGCTCCCAATTGAAAATATGGTACGACCCCCCCACCTCTTGATTTTCGGAGGCTAATACTGAAGTGTCCGGAAAAAAAGGTCTACATTTCAGCACTCGCCTCCCTGCACAAATTTCTGGATCCACCCCTGTTAGCCCCCCAAAATATAGGCTAAAGAACCGCGCCTGAACCTCAGGCAAAATCCGAGGAGACTAATAATTATATCAATGCTTTACTGAGTATTGTCCAATCTGATCTTTTGTTAAATAAACCATTCAGATGTGAATATATATATATAAATATATATATATATAAATATATATATAAATATATATATATATATATATATATATATATATATATATATATATATATATATATATATATATATATATATATATATATATATATATATATAT